AATGCGTACTATAGTATCAACAATGTATACTGCATATTGTACTTAATGAAACAAATTAATCAATGCAAATAAAACTGAGGTAGGAATTTGACTAGACAAAGTTTAAATGTGCAAGTTGTACTGAATGGCATACGTAAATTAACGCAATTTAAATAAAAATTATTACTATAAAAGTACATCGAATCTAGGACATAGTACAACTGATCTGATCATAACATAAACAAAACGCGTACTGTATGTTTGTGTTACCTTGAAATTTAATTTTATTGGTCAAACAGGTCCAGATAGCAACACTTGAACTATACAGGATGCAATACGCGTACTGTATGTTTTTATAACACAAATGCGTATTTCCTACAGAAGGCAGCAAGGGGAGAAAGGAATATAGAAAGTAATCAATTTGCTATAGATGTCTCTCCTTGCACCTTTTCTCAGAGGTTCAAAAATTAGTTGTCTGCTACAAGCAATTTAGGAAGGAGGTTTCTACCTGCCTGCATATCTATATATATATTATCTTTGAGCCCATCACACTCCTCTGCCGTAATTGCAAATTGGCGGTACAGTCCAAAGTAGGACTGCAAAGGTTGGCCCAGCTCAGATATTCAAATGTACACCAGTGGGGCGAGGTACAGTCCAAAGTAGGACTGCAAAGGTTGGCCCAGCTCAGATATTCAAATGTACGCCGGTGGGGCGTGTCATGCACCAATTTACCGGATCGACTTTATTAACTCATATACACACTTTATATTTATATACACCTATATTTTAGAACTTCAACGTGAATGTTTCTAACTAGAGCTGTATTCTAATCTGCATTTGGCAACATGCTTATCGATTTTGGCGTGAGAGCGTGTGCTCTCATAAATGAAAATATTACAAACCGATTAATTTGGGTTAATCCTTTTTCGCAAACACTTTATTTTATTCAAGATTAGAACAAATAATATTGTTCCTATTCATATTTTTATTCTTTCTATATAAAAACAACATTGTATTATAGATATATAATTACTGGATTTTAAGAAAAATTTAAAGTTAAAAAAGATCTCTTTTTTGGTTCTGAAAATGAGACTAATAATATTAAATTAAAAACAAAGTATAAAGTCTAATCTAAAATATTCGGCAAACCTATACATGTTAACCTTGCATTTGTATATCAAAAGAATTTTAGAAAGTATTAGAAAAATTCTAGTCTCTTCCGTTTAAAATACTTTTTTAATGAAAAAAGCATCAAATTATATCAAATAATATTAATATATACATTAGATCACTTTCCAAACTCGACAGTAAATGTTAGAGTGTATTTTTTAAGGTCAATGTTTAAAGCCTAAAAAGTTTAACAGTAAAGAGACAATTTAAATCTATTGTAAAACTGTTCACACGACTATACACTTGGCATTTAGCCAGATTCATTCTTATATTCATCCATACGTTCTTGTATATTCTTATATTCATCTATATATTCAAGAATATTCTTATATTCATCCATACATTCAAGTATATTATTATATCCATCCATACATTCAAGTATATTCTGATATTCATCCATACATTCAAGTATATTCTAATATTCATCCATACATTCACCTATATTCTTAAATTCATCCATTCATTCACCTAAATTCTTATATTCATCCATACATTCAAGTATATTCTTATATTCATACATACATTCACCTATATTCTTATATTCATCCATACATTCAAGTATATTCTTATATTCATCCATATATTCGAGAATATTCTTATATTCATCCATACATTCAATTATTATATTCATCCATACATTCAAGTATATTCTTATATTCATCCATACATTCACCTATATTCTTATAATCATCAATACATTTAAGTATATTCTTATATTCATCCATACATTCAAGTATATTCTTTTATTCATCCATACATTCACCTATATTCTTATATTCATCCATACATTCACCTTTATTCTTATATTCATCAATACATTCAAGTATATTCTTATATTCATCCATACATTCAAGTATATTCTTATATTCATCCATACATTCAAGTATATTCTTATATTCATCCATACATTCACCTATATTCTTATATTCATCCATACATTCAAGTATATTCTTATATTCATCAGTACATTCTAATATTTATCCATACATTCACCTATATTCTTATATTCATCATTATATTTATCCTTATATTCATCCATGCATTCTAGAATATATTCTCTTATTCATCAGGCCATTCATTCTAGAATATATTCTTACATTATAACCAATGTATTTTAGTACATTTTTACATAATCTATTTAAATTTTCTTTGTCTTTTAAGAAAGATTTTGATTAAGAGGAGAAGAATTAGGCGTCGGCCTCTGCCCAGAAAATTGATAGCTCAATAATTGTGTTTTAATTTAACATTTTTATTTAAGAATAAAAAAATTTAAAGAAAAAACATTCAAAACTAAAATTAATTTAGTTTTCGTTAAAAAGTAATTGATTTAATAAATACAATTTGAGTGAAATTTGATTGAAGTCAAACTCTGAATACATTTTACAAAGGAAAGAATACATTAAAAACTAGCCAAGCCGTCAGTCATCTAACTCATCTCAAGAACCTCGATGTGCCGGCGTACACATCAATACTAAATGATCTGAGGGATAGATAGATATTTTCCCCTAAAATGTAAACAAAAAATAAAAGATAAACAAAGGAAGTGCTGGAAAAATTATTTGATTTTAAGAATACGTACTCAAAAAACCCAAAAATTTCTGAAATTTTTACTCTGCTTGCGCGCCTGTTGTACTCAGTACACTGAACCTTTTGCCTGGTGCCCAGCATAGCACCAGGTTGAAAGCAGAATAGAAAGATTAAGGTGCACTGCAAACTAAAAAGAACGAGAAGGTAAAGTTTATGCCATATCACCGGTATGATTTTGTGACCTTGTACCTCTCCTAAATTTTAATTAAACACACAAGTAGGGAAACAAAATTTACGGTTACAGATTAGAAATTCAAAACATGTTTGTTCCTCTCAATAGCTCTTTAATAATAAAGTTATGATTGAACCTCCAATATCTTAATTAAAGAAATACTTCTTGTAGACTCCTGAGAGCAAGGAACTTTGTTTTATCACAAAAAAGGGAAATTTGGTAAAGAATTAATTAAATATTAATTTTTTGATGTCGTAAAGTGTGAAAATATTTAAAGTTATATCTGTGCTAAACTTTAAACGTTGATCAACTTCAAACAAAGTTAAATTTATCGCATGGTGTTCTACGCAACATTATTACAATTTTGTTTGTTTTTGTATTCTGTCCATTAGAATCTAGAGACAGTATCTTAAAACTGCGTTTCAGAGCAATTGGAAAGCTTAGTTTTGCGTGGATAGGTAGAACAAGTGTTTAATTGTACAATATATTGTTGGATCTAAAACTTTAAAGCAATGGGGTTTGATTAATTGCCAAAGGCAAAGCATGTCACGGCAGTTTTAATACGTCAATTATATTTTTATTGTCCATAAATATATCTGTAATTCTTAAATTGAAGTTTTTGTTCCCCAGTTTTTTGAAGCAATGGTTAAAGTTTGACACCAAGATAGGAATAAAGGAAGAGAGATAATTATATAGATTGGTAATTAGATAGATAGGTATAAAAAGAGGGATAGATAGATAGGTGTAAAGCTCGATAGATAGATGAGTGATAGACAAATAATTAGATAGATAGGTAGAAAGATAAAATAATAGATATGAAAATAATTAGTTAGATAGATAGATAGATAGAAAAATAAATAGATAGATAGATAAATAAATAATTAGTTAGATAAGGTATGAACAGGTAGCAGCTGTGGCCTCTGTTACTCCTCCGGTCAGCCTCAGTATTAGCAGTGTACACACTCAGCACACAGTTATTTCAGGCTTGCACACGATCCTCGTATCCTCGTTTCCTTGTATCCTCTTTCCAGAGGTTCATCCTCGACATTATCCTCGTTTTGAGATAATCTTTATCCTCATCTTAAAAGTATCCTTATTCCAACACGTGATTTTCTTAGGCTTAATGTTTTCAAAACTAATTTTAAACTAAACATGCATTTTCAATTATCCAATTTAAAGGAACTGTGTTTTTGCAACAATCTTTGACTTTCTCATCCCTTTATCTTTGCAACCTGATGCCGTAGACCTTTTTATTTCATACTGAGAATTCTGTTGCAGATCTAATAGTCTACCTTACAAATATTACATCATTAGTTTGCAAAGGGATTAGTCAATTTTAATCTGTAACAAAATCTGAGTTTCTTTTATCGTAAGATTCAGTCTAATGCATATGCTTATTTATCATCAGAAATCTTATTCTCTATCCTAAACCTTTTTCTCTATCATAATTCTTACAAATTTTCCTAAATCTTATTCATCATCCTAAATCTTATTCATCATCCTAAATCTTATTCATTAGCCTAGATCTTATTCATCATTATAAATCGTATTCATCATTCTAAATCTTATTCATCATTATAAATCGTATTCATCATTCTTAATTTAATTCATCATCCTAAATCTAATTCATCATTCTAAATCTTATTCATCATTCTAAATCTTATTCATCATCCTAAATCTTATTCATTCTAAATCTTATTCATTATTCTAAATCTTATTCATCATTCTAAATCTTATTCATCATCCTAAATCTTATTCATTATTCTAAATCTTATTCATCATTCTAAATCTTATTCATCATTCTAAATCTTATTTATCATCCTAAATCCTATTCAACATTCTAAATCTTATTCATCATTCTAAATCTTATTCATCTTCCTAAATCTTTTTATTATTCTAAATCCTACTTATCATCCTAAATCTTATTTATCATTCTAAAACTTCTTCATCATCCTTATTCATTTTTCTAAATTCCTCATCCTTATTTTATCATACTTTATCTTATTCATCATTTGAAATCTTATTCCTCATCCTTATTTTATCATACTTTATCTTATTCATCATTCGAAATCTTATCTTTATTTTCAGAAAAATGAAAACATGAAAAACATGGAAAGAGCATTTTAACTCTTGAAAATCAAGTGATTGATTAAAAGCAGTTTAAAGACAATGAGAGAGATCTTTGAAATTCTAAACCTTTAAATAAGTGAATATTAAAGTTATGTTAAAGTGTTTATAAACGTGTACTTTGCTTAATGCCGGTTAATATTTTCTGAGGCGATATATCCTTGCTAGGACGTGATAAACAGTCCAGCTCCAGGACGAAGAAAGACCTACTAGGACGTTATTCTAGGACGGATAAAATGCGGCGACGGACTAGAATGCAGATTCTAAGTTTAGCTTATATCCTGGTAGGACTAGAGACTGCAGGAGCTAATGCTCCGACATACAAGGAAACATATTTCTCTCCCTTTTTCTTCCTAATCTTAGATATTTAGCTCTGGTATTAAAGAATACCAGGGAATAGATAGAGATGTCAAAAAGTAGAAAGTTACTGGAAACTAAATTGTTGGGACCCAATTATTTTTGATAGCACATTCAGGATTACCTTTTTTAATCCACTGTACTGCTGTATAGTATTACATTTTTTATTCCACTGTACTGCTGTATAATATTACATTTTTTATTGCACTGTACTGCTGTATAATATTATGTTTTTTATTCCATTGTACTGCTGTATAATATTAAATTTTTTATTCCACTGTGCTGCTGTATAGTATTACATTTTTTATTCCACTGTACTGCTGTATAGTATTACATTTTTTATTCCACTGTACTGCTGTATAATATTACATTTTTTATTCCATTGTACTGCTGTATAATATTACATTTTATTCCACTGTACTGCTGTATAATATTACATTTTTTATTCCACTGTACTGCTGTATAATATTACATTTTTTATTCCACTTTACTGCTGTACAATATTACATTTTTTATTCCACTGTACTGCTGCATAATATTACATTTTTTATTCCACTGTGCTGCTGTATAATATTACATTTTATTCCACTGTACTGTTGTATAATATTACATTTTTTAATCAACTGTACTTCTGTATAGTATTACATTTTTTATTCCACTGTACTGCTGTATAATATTACATTTTATAATCCACTGTACTGCTGTATAATATTACATTTTTTAATCCACTGCACTGCTGTATAATATTACATTTTTTAATCCACTGTACTGTTGTATAATATTACATTTTTTAATCCACTGTACTGCTGTATAATCTTACATTTTCTAATCCACTGTACTGCTGTATAATATTACATTTTTTATCCACTGTACTGCTGTATAGAATATCATTTTTTATTTCACTGTACAGCTGTATAATATTACATTTTTTATTCCACTGTACTGCTGTATAATATTACATTTTGTATTCCACTGTACTGCTGTATAATATTACATTTAGTATTTCACTGTACAGCTGTATGATATTACATTTTTTAATCCACTGTACTGCTGTATAGTATTACATTTTTTAATCCACTGTACTGCTGCATAATATTACATTTTTTAATCCACTGTACTGCTGCATAATATTACATTTTTTATTCATTCCACTGTACTGCTGTATAATATTACATTTTTTATTCATTCCACTGTACTGCTGTATAATATTACATTTTGTATTTCACTGTACAACTGTATGATATTACATTTTTTAATCCACTGTACTGCTGTATAGTATTACATTTTTTAATCCACGGTACTGCTGTATAGTATTAAATTTTTTAATCCACTGTACTGCTGCATAATATTACATTTTTTATTCATTCCACTGTACTGCTGTATAATATTACATTTTTTATTCCACTGTACTGCTGTATAATATTACATTTTTTTCCACTGTACTGCTGTATAATATTACATTTTTTATGCACTGTACTGCTGTATAATATTACATTTTTTATTCCACTGCACTGCTGTATAATATTACATTGTTCAATTCTTTTTTTCCCTTGCATTTTAATATCCGCTGTGTTTCAACTTTTTTATCTAATTTCAATTCAATCTTTCAAACTTTAATCTTTTTTTAACGCAAGTCATTGAGTCGCAATAATAAGTAAATATTATTGAATCATTTAATTTGAAATGTTTTTATTTCTTTTTCATTCAGGATCATATAAATATAAACAAAGCGGGGGGGGGGTGTAAAAGAAAGTTTTAAAAAAGGTAAACCTTAAGCTTTAAAGGAGCAGTTGGCATAATCCTGATTTATTTTTACGCAAAAATCTACAGATTTTAGTTTTCTGGTTGATACAGCTAACAGACGCAAAGGGAGATGAGATTTATATTTTGTATTTGTAATCTTGGTCCTTAAGTATAAAAAGTATAAAAAATATAAAAAGTATCAAATGTTTCACCGAATACCTAGTACAGGACCGAGGAAAGGGATCAAACTGCAATAAACTAAATCTTTTTATCATTTATTCAACACTTTATATATAATATATATCTTGAAATATTCCTTAACACGAGATAAATATAATCAACAGTCAACAGTGAATTTATGCTTGAAATGCCTCTGTGGACCCCCCCCCCTCATACTCTACAGGTCTGCCTACCCTCCTCCCCTCATCCACTTCTGCACTCCTCCACTCCTCCTTCAGATCTTACCTTCTCCCCTCCTCCTGGTTTGTAGATCTGCCCTTCCCTCCTCCTGGTTTGTAGATATACCCTTCCCTCCTCCTAGTTTGTAGATCTGCCCTTCCCTCCTCTTAGTCTGTAGATCTGCCCCTCCCTCCTCCTAGTCTGTAGATCTGCCCTTCCCTCCTCCTGGTTTGTAGATCTGCCTCTCTCTCCTCTTAGTCTGTAGATCTGCCCCCTCCCTCCTCCTAGTCTGTAGATCTGCCCTTCCCTCCTCTTAGTTTGTAGATCTACCCTTCCCTCCTCCTAGTTTGTAGATCTGCCCTTCCCTCCTCTTAGTATGCAGATCTTCCCTGCTACCCTCCTTCTGGTCTGTAGATCTGCCCCTCCCTCCTCTTAGTCTGCAGATCTGCCCTTCCCTCCTAGTTTGTAGATCTGCCCTCCCCTCCTCTTAGTCTGCAGATCTTCCCTCCTACCCTCCTTCTGGCCTGTAGATCTGCCCTTCCCTCCTCTTAGTAAGTAGATCTCCCCTCCCCTCCTCAATTTTAAGTAGCTGCCACCCCTCTCTCTCTCTATAATCTCCAGTAATCCCTGTAATGGTCCCTGGGTAGTCCCTGCTAAAGTTAGTGTATGAGATGAATATGTAAACTATGGAACTAGGAGATGGATCCTATGCTTCAAGAAGAATACTGCAAGGAGACAATCAAACACATTACCGTAAGAAAGCAACATTTGTGTAAGTTAAAATAACACAATTTTAACGTTTTTTACGTAGATTTAGTTGAAGCAAATTATTGTTTACTTTTAATTATGTGTCACGGTAGAGATCGAATAGTTGATCAACTCAACATGATGAAAGAAAAACACACTAATCAACAGTTTTACTCAAAATTGCGAGTTTAGACGGAGACTTGTTTACACTTTTTGTTTACTTTTTACCTATTCATTGCAGTACACTTCTCTCTTGATAAGTCTTTTTGTTTTACTTTTTACCTATACATTGCAGTACACTTCTTCTCCTGAGACTTTAATATTGTTTACATATTACCCATATATATACATTACACATGCATACTTAAATACAATATTAAGTTTTTTTTTTGAATCTTTTTAAGTTATTTTTTAATTCGCAAGACGATTGAGTTATCTTTGGTTTTATATGTTGACTCTGGGTCCAGGTTTTATTGTCTTGCTCCGTAGAATTTCACTTACGGGAACCCGCAGGGTTTGGAGTTTTTCTCTCCAGGATATCCTAGAAACTATCCGTCCGGGATAAAATGCTTCAGGGATATACGCACTACACTCAAATCCATGCTTGTATCAAGTGTAAAAAATCATCAAGCCGATAGATTTTGGTATTTGAGCAATAATTTATTTTTGATAATGTTCAATTTATTTGTGAAGAGATTTTAGATTTGTGCCGGGTTTCTGTGACAGAAATTGATTTTACATTTAATGAATTGGAACTCCTTAGAAAGATGTCAATAAATTCTCAACCATGGTATTGCCTTTCCTCAATCCATTCCAAGTTCTCCAATCTTTTCAGTGTTTTCAATAATTTTCAAAGAATTTATGGGAAATTGTTTTCCTGTTGTGAAATTTTTTTGAATTTCGGGGATGGAGTTAGCAAATAATTTTTGAGTCAGAACTTTTAATCAAATATGTAATTTTTCGGCCTTGTCTAATTATCGTTGTTGTTGTTATTGTTGCTACAAAGCTAGATGTAGTTTTCTGTACTATTTTTTGTGTTGTAACGGTTGATTGTTGTTGTTGCTGATGCTGCTGTTGTTGTTGTTCTTATTGTTGGATGTTGTAACTGTTGATTGTTGTTGCTGATGCTGTTGTTGTTGTTGTTCTTATTGTTGAGTGTTGTAACTGTTGATTGTTGTTGGTTGTTGTTGTTCTTATTGTTGAGTGTTGTAACTGTTGATTGTTGTTGCTGATGCTGTTGTTGTTGTTGTTCTTATTGTTGAGTGTTGTAACTGTTGATTGTTGTTTTTGATGCTGTTGATGTTGTTGTTCTTATTGTTGAGTGTTGTAACTGTTGATTGTTGTTGCTGATGCTGTTGTTGTTGTTGTTCTTATTGTTGAGTGTTGTGCTGCATCTCCAGAACTCTGAATGCTGATTATGGATACTTTGTTAAAGTGGACTTCAGGAACTATTCGCATTAATTAATTAGTTAATATAATTAAAGGGATTGTTCCCAAAACCATTAAAAGATATTCGCATTAATTAACTAATTTGATTAAAGGAATTGTCTCCAAAAACATTTAAAGATATTTGCATTAATTAGTTAATTTAATTAAAGGGAGTGATCCCAAAAGCTTTATATTTTTACTTAAATTATACTAGAGTGCCTTTAAACTGCCTAGCGATGGTATATCAATATGTAATCTGTAAATTTTCAGAAATAAAACTAAGATATCAATTAACAATCAGTGCTGCTTAGATAATTGTTATAAGATATCTTTTTGGATTATTATATTGTTAAACTTTTCTAAACATTGCATTGACTACCAAATAATACATTCTGGAATATAATAATTGCATCTTTGGATTTAAAAACTCTGAATTAAAAGATAAAAACTCAACAATGCATTTTTCTGTAGAGATTCGTTCCACATAGAACCACCTTCCAACGAGATGAAATGTGATTATGATTACTTGGAGGTAATTTTTTAATGTTTTCATGCTTTCCTTCAACTTCAAAAATAATACTTTTGATATTAAAAGGACTTTAAGTTGAATTTCATATGACCCTACATGCAGAGATGGCATTGCCCGATTCACAACAGAACCCTTAAAACCTTGTTTTGATCAAAATGTGGAAGACTTAAAAAGTGTTTAATTCTGATGATTTCTCCATCGCTTTTTATAAGAATGCAATGAGGGTATCTTGAAATTACACCTACAGTCTCTTTAATGTTTTAATGTAATTCGGGTTCAAAAAACTGTTTTAAATGAAATAATTCAAATTTACCCTATTAGATCTACCAGAATTTACAGTTTGAAATATCACAAGTCTACGATTTCGGGTTGAACAGTTTTCAGGGATTATACAATCAGAGTTTGTGGCCAGAACTTGATTCCTGTTAGGGAACGATTGTTTTTAAATCGATATTTGCACCTAGCTATAGCAAATTGTTCTAAGATTGGATTTATAAAGTCCTGGGATCGCGTTCCGCAGTTGCTTTCGCAATTTTTCATTTTTTAACAATACAAATATATATATATATATATATATAGTTGTTCAAAGAATTTTGACCACTGAGAATCGTCATCAGGCGTGAAACATTATGTTTAATATAATTCTTTTTTGATAAAATGTGAAGTTTAAAAAAGTGAACTATATATATATAATATTACATATAGCATATATAAATACAACATAAATATCTATATAGAAAAGCATTAATTGCTACAAGACCGAGTAAAGGCATTATGCAGTATATTAAAGACTAGACAATATTGGCGTTGATGTACTATCTTACAATCATTAATTCTCATTTCCTTTTTAGCCCTTTCTTTACTTTTACTTTACAGGAGGAACAAATAGAATGGAAATTGTTTAAAAGACCATTTTTAAAATAAATTACCCCAAAATAAATAAGTGAATGAATAAAGATGGTTGGTTGGATAGTTTATTATTGGGATACAGGAGAATATACTCTCATTTATCATCTATACAAACTCTACTCTAGACCAAACCAAGGGTATAAAACTTCATAACAACAACAATAATAATATATCGGAAAATGTCTTTAAATGTGTTTAAATCTATTTTGCCATTTTTTCTTCATCTTTTACAGGATGATATATTTCTATATTAGTTAACATTTAGATTTACGAATTTTTCTGACAAAAAATTGCGGATATCTACATTTTAAAAAGACAGTAAAACCAAAAAAGCATATGATTAGAGTTACATGACCTTATTATATCTGTACAATTTAAACCTTTATCTGTCAAGAAGCTATAGTTGTTTTTCTTTTTTGGAAAGATGTATATTCTGTCAATTTCCTTTTTTGCCTCTGCCGCTAAATAGATCTGCAATTTTAGACCAAAGTTTCAGGGAATCTGGGATGTAGATCTTAAATAAATTACATTGACAGTTCCTTTAAGAAACATTCCCAACAAAAACAAAAATAATGAAATCAAATGCTTTTCATCAGTCCAAAATTAATTCCAAATCGATAATGTAATAAGTCACATTATCCGTTGTTCTTGAGGAATTCCTTTCGAGTGCTTTCAAATATTTCGGCGATGCAATACATTTTTTATAATATATAGATTTATAGATAGATTGATAGATATATAGATAGATAGATAGATGGATAAATAGATATATAGAAAGATAGATAAATAGATAAATAGATAGATAGAAGATAGATAGATAAAGAGATAGATAGAAGATAGATAGATAGATAAAGAGATAGATAGAAGACAGATAGATAGATAGATAGAAAGATAGATAGATAGATAGATAGATAGATAGAAAGATAGAGAGAAAGCTAGATAGATAGATAGTAAAAATAATCCTTTGAAGTTGAGAATATACACATTTGTATGATATGAGTGCCCAAAGCAAAGTAATAATAGTTAAATAAAACTACACAGTATAAATTGTTTGTATCTAATAGTATTATCCAAGGCATGAATGTAAGCCTAAACAAAATTTACAATTATTAAAGTCATGACTGACTTTTCAATTTCAAGCGACCCTCCATTAAAAAGGAGGATGCGCGATAACCTTGAAAATTATTTTTGATAAATAATTTGAAAGATAACAAAAAGTGCTTAATTCGAATAATTCGTACATTGTTTCCTGCAGCATATATGTGCAAGTCACTTTTGCAGAGAAACTACAAAATTCTTAGTTTTTAAAATTACAAACATGGATATGTTATTAATGCTTGAAAGTTGAATAGACAAAGCTTTAATGGGACTGTTTTAAATCAATCATACCTCTCTAAAAATGGAGGGTGACTTGAAATTATGTCTACATTCCCTTTAATAGTGGAACTTGGACATTTTGTATTTCCTTTCAATCGAGACGGACGGTCGTTCTCTTTAAGTTGGGGCGAGAAGTGTGATTTCTAAATTTTTATAAAATATCCAAATGTCAAGATTCTACTTTGCACGCCGCTAAGCGGTGCAATTTTTCAGGAAAGCAAATTTTTCAAAACTTTCGAATCTTTCAGAAAAAGTCAGATCTGTGCAGATTCTGAAATCCTGGTATCCATTCTGTGAACATCTTAGAACTAAATCTGTCTTGAGGTTGTACCTTTTGTGTGGAATATCGTTATAGTACGTTTTATAATTAAATGCTTGATCTTGATATCCAAATTAGCAATTTTGAATTTGAGGGTAAATGCTTGATCCCTCTATAAAAGTTATCCGGGAGGGTATGACCACCACCAGATATCGAAGAGGAATTAAATTGATAAGATGAAGATCAATGCTTGATCCAGAAATTCACAACACATCTATCAAATAGAAGAAAGGAACCGGATCTTGGATTCGCAATTTGAAAAAGAAATTATTCCCTCTACGAGCTAATTTTAAGAAAAGTAAGCAACTACACAGTACACAAACTGTTCTCAGCGAATTCTTGCCAAAAAATTGTCCGGACAAAAAAGTCTCGAAGAAGAAATGTGTTCTACTTTTTTGTCAATCTTTTAAAATATCCGGCAAAATATTTAAGATTTGAATCTTGACCTACTTGCTAACATAGTTTAGTAAAATGCCTTTCTAGTATATGTAGTTTTGTATTATGGGAGGAAGAATTTAAACAATTTTTTCTCTCATGCTTTTACAAACCCCAACATCATTTCTCATTCTTCAGGACCCTTCATCAGATATGCTTAGGTACAAGGGACAGATAGGGACAAGTTTAGGGACTTTTAGGGATATGAAGCAACAGAAAGGGAAGGTGCAGCGACAGAAATGGACAGGTTTAGCGACAGATGTGGATAAGTAGGGGGACAGATGGGATATGTGTACTTGCAGGGACAGACAGATATAGAGACAGGAAAAGATACAAGGATTTGTAGGGACATATATAGAGAGATAGGGACAGGGACATATATAGAGAGACAGGGATAGGTATGGACATACATAAAGAGATAGGGACAGGGAAATATATAGAGAGATAGGGACAGGGACATATATAGAGAGATAGGGACAGGGAAACATATAGAGAGATAGGGACAGGGAAATATATAGAGAGATAGGGACAGTTGCAGAGAAAGATAGATAGAGATAGGGAAAACAGACGAGGACATGTAAGGAAAGATATGGAAGGATGGGTTATTTGACAGGACAGATATCGATAGATAGGGACATATAGGGACATGTAGATACATAGTAGAGACAAACAGGGACAGATAGGGACATGGTAGATATAGATAGGGATATATAAAGAGACTGTAGAGGCAGATAGGGACATAGTAGAGGAGATAGGGACATAGTAGAGGCAGATAGGGACAGATAAAGACAAATAAGGGTAGATGGGATAGGTGCAAATACTGAAAGGGTCATTCAAATGTCTAGGATAATTATTTTACGGTTAAATTTCGTCGAAAGTAATAGTTTATATCTTAGTGTTTTCTATCTTTATCTGTTTAGATACGGGACGGAGAACAGGGATACTCCCCCCTCATTGGAAAATATTGTGGGAATCTATTTCCCCCGGTTATTACAAGCAGTGGACGCTCACTTTGGCTCAGGTAATAGATAATTTGAAAACAATAATGAAAATACTAAATAACAATGATAATAATAGTAATAATAAAAAATAATGATAATAATAATAATAATAATTTTAATAAAAATAATGTATATAATGATAATAGTTAAATGATAATAATAATGATCGTTCTTATTTCTTTAACAATTATTTTTGGATTTTATTTTTTTTTAAAGAACAGTGAATTTATACTCTGGGCGATGTATCTTCTTTTTAGCTGATCTTTTGTAGATCTATGCATTCCAATCCCTTGTAGACAAAAGAAATATGCAATGATCGTTATTATAAAATCAAGAATTGAAAACTAATATTTGAATTTCAGATTTGTGTCTGATGGAACTATTGAATACTCTGGCTTCAAGGCAAATCATAAATAAATCACTGTGCAGGGGTTCCAGGGTTCCAGGCTTCAAAACTTCAAATATCTTTTAGAATTGTTCGCAATCACAAGCAAACAGTNTGAAGGTGAAGTTGGAATATTCCATGAAAAAGAAGAAAAGGGGAAATAAGATAATATTGGTATCCCATTTTGACAGACGTTAATTTTAAAATTTTAGTTCCATTTTGAAATTATGAATAAAATATTTTTCTTTTTCCAAACTGTAAACTAAAGTAAATCGCGAGTACGATTAAATTCATTGTTTTATCATTCTTTTATTCAACAATTAAAAAAACAAAACATTGTGGTGCAGAAATAAATTCTTTCAGAGGTGTGAAATTAGCTATGGGGCTCAAATCCACATTGCATATGTTCTAAGTTTTCTTTTATACATTTTAAAAAGTCGAGATTTTTTTTTTAATTTTAACCTCATTCAGATTATTGGTTTTTTGTTTAAACCAAATCGCTCATAACGTAAGCCAGAAAACAAATCTACAAAATATATGAAGTGTATTATGTATTAACCCTATCACAATTGGGGGGGGGGGGGGCGTTTCTTCTGTTAAGCAAATTAAGCAAATTAAGCCCTAAAACGCTTTAATTGGAAATGTATTTCTCATAGTATAAAAAACAATTCTTTTTCTTTTACAGAGAGATGTTACTTCTAATTTACTACTGTATAATTTAGTGCTGTTGCATAAAGTATTTCGATGAAATAGTTTCACACGGAGTGAAATAGCGCGCACTAATTTACATAGTTTGATCTCCATATCCATTGAGACATATTTTATCTTGATCCTTCAATTATATTAGTTATCCCTGCTGGGTTCCGATGACAGGATATCCAAGAGAAATTGATTTTAATCCTTACGACGACCAAAGATGCGGATATCTACTTAATCCCAGGATTCACAATTCAAAAGTTTTGACCTCACGCTATACAGCGGTAAACCTTATTTTACTCATAATGTTTATTTTAAACTTTTTGATTTAATCTTTTGCCTGCATATGAATTCTAGTTTAAGAATATATTTGTGAATTGTGAAGTATTATATTTCTACATACAGGGTGTCACAATAAAAAATATCTTTTAGGTACTAAAGTTCTCTCATGTTTGTGAGATGTTCACATTTTTGGACATTTTCAAAATCTATGTAAAATTTCCGAACTACCACGAGAGCCCTTATAGTACCTAGAGATCGTTTTTTGAGGACACCCTTTATATACTTATTCAACTTCAAGATTCAAATTCAGTGCTTTCACTAGATATGTAGAACTCAAAATATTTCATATATTTATCCAAATATATGCAGCTCTTGATTCATGTTTATGCATAATGTTGAGATATTGTCAAATGTCATCGTATAAAATATTTCATATATTTATCCAAATATATGCAGTTCTTGATTCTTGTTTATGCATAATGTTGAGATATTGTCAAATGTCATCGTATAAAATGCGGAAATTCAGGATGCGTCTTGGATGGAAGATTTTTTCCACTTTGGAAAATTCCAATCTGAGGTCGAAACTGTTGAATACTTCTCAACCCCTTTAGAAACCACTTATCCATATATTTTGTTGATTAAAGAATTAAGCTGATTCCCTGTTGACCAAGAACTAAAGGTTTGATTGTTTACCTGCAATATGTCAGTTTTCTCATAAAAAAGTTCTAATCGCCTCGGAGACCCGGTTTTCTCTTTTAACAATTAACAATTCCCCTGATAATAGAGTATAATCTCGTCTAATCCGGGCCGAGTCCTAAAACCAGTTTATGCAGTGCAGACATATTTTTAAATATTCATGTACTAATCCAGTATTCGGTTTGTAACGAAACATAGATTAATGCGACCATTTTTTCCATTCAAAGAAATTCAAAGAGAGGAAATTTTAGCCTTAGTCAAGTTTAGAAAACTACCAACCCACCCAAACATACCAACCCACCCAAACACAACAAACTAATCATTCAATAAAGAGCGATATGAAAGATTTAAATTCACAATTGCATCCTTTGATTTTTGTAATAGCAGACATTTTTTTTACTGAAATAATAAAAAATTAGATATATCTGAACAACCCAATGTTTTCAACCTTAGATATTTGAAGCTTTAAATTCTGCTAGATCAAATAATCTAAGTTTAAAAATATTAAAGGCCTAGGCCCAATAAAAAAATGACACTTTCAGCAACCAAAAAAAAAATAAAAATATTCGATAATTTTTAAAAGCTCTCATATCCTAATGCTTGCGAAAAGTAGCAAAAATATTTGAATCCTCCCTTGAAAAAATTTGCAATGCAATGAATGAACTGAGATTTTTATTTACTTTTCCTGTGCAAATTTTTCGCAATATATGTGATGCAGTTGTTTGATACTACAAAGATATGCAGCATGTTTTGTGCAAATTCTTTCAGAATTATGAAATGAAAAAATTCCCGCAAAAATTTCTAGAATTTTTAAACTTGAGATAAATATGAATATTATAGTGCGTAAAAAGTCGAGGGCCCATGTTCTTTATGTTTTATTGTTTTTTTATTTACATTTTTGACTTACTGTTTTTGCATTTTTTAAATGTTCCAGCTTTTCCATTTGAACAATTAATATATAGATTTAGAATTTTAGAAAAATGAGTCGGGTTTTAAAAAGTTGAACCATGCATTATTGTTATCTAACATGCCTCAAACTCCCCTATCTAAACTTTACGGTTAAAATCATAAGGGAAGAGCCTTACAGTAACTCGGATATGGTTGATTAGAGAAATAGCTTGTTACTCTTTCTATGAAACTCCGGAGTTGGAAAGAGTGACAGAATATAATTCTTAATTCAAAAATGAAATAGAAACATTTTCTCTTCTGCTTGACGCGGCGTATACAAGAGACCTGGTTGAACCAGCTGTATGTGGTTTAACTAGTTCTCGCTATTCATATAATCTGGTTTCATGAATTGTTTATGAAAAGTCGCCTTAGCAAATTTATGGATTGAGTAAAGCGACTTTGTAGATACAAATATTATATTGTTTAATATTTTTGATTTCTTCTCTTTTTTTCTATTTCTTTAATCAAAACCTACACAAATATATATATTTAAAAAAGAAACTCGGGGTAGTCTTTTAATGATAATAACTTAAATTTTCGATTCTGTTAGACGATACCTTTAACAACAACCATGATATCATTACAACATAGATTTATAACAATACAGATAGAACACTTGATGTCGTCTCATCAAGATTTAGGGGGTTTTCGTTTGTAACTTCTTTGGGCTTTTGCCTCAAAGCCCTAACGAAAAACCCCTAAATCTTGAAAAGACTACAGTTAGATTTATTGTTGTTAATCTATGCATTACAAATTTTACGAAACCCGAGTTCCGATACCGGTCTTTATGACAATACATGCTGTCTTACATTTTGGGCTCAGGTCATTTATATTATGTTTTCTATAAATTATGATTTCATTTAAAATTTTTATTCCTTTAAAGTATGATTCCTGAAAATTATGATTTTACTATAGGCAGTGTACACCTATATTCCGAACCCATTGGAGACTTTACCATTTATTCCTAAATGCGAGTTTGAAGTCGGAGGCTCTCAGGACTTTATAGGTAGGACACTTTTCATACAGGGTTACCCACAAAGGATGAGACTGAAAAGACGACCTGAAACTCTTTAAACTAAATAATTTCAAGGCTAAATTAAGTCACTGCCCTGAATATCTATTGTCGTTTAATGGATAAGTACGAAATTGCAAAGAACGGAATAAGTTTACAGTTGCAGGGAAACATGAATAGAAGAAAAAAGACAGTTTAAATTCCGCACCGTCGTCTCCGAAATCGCATCCTTTATGTACAGTCATGACAATTAAAAAAAAGGAAACAAACTGTTCTAACTAAAATGGTGTCCTGAAAATGATTAAATATATCATCACTGATAACCCATCATAAATTACTAAATCTTGAGCTTTATTTATGATTAAAATTTTGAAAAAAGACGACTTTTATTTCTTTTCATAATGATTATGGCTGCGTGAATAAGAGGATAGTTTTCACTGTAAAGCAAATAACATTTTCCGAATGATAAAGTTAAAGATAAAGTATGATAAAGTAATTTATTTCCCCACCTTCAGTAGGGCAACTTTAAAGTGTTCCAGAATTAAAACTTTTAACAAAAAACTTTTCTAAAAAGTTTTCTATTTTAGGTACAGCCAACATATCGCAGGAGCAGAGGGATTTTGCGAGTAAATATTCTGTACCTCTAGACTGTACCTGGATCATCAGAGCTCAACAGAATAAAGTTATTTATATTCAGGTTTGCTTATTCACTCTCCATTGAAACCTGCTATTTCTTCGGTCAGTGTACTGCAAATTACTGCAGTACACACCGAAAGCTTTGTTGAGGGTATTTTAAGGAACAAACCCAAATTTTCTAATTCCTATTTCTTTATGCACCCTAAAAGTGTAATTACCTTTGATATTTCAAACTACTCTTATTCTAACATAATTATAAAAATTGAAGTAATTAAGGTTTACACCATTGAGTTGTTCAATTAAAGTTTGTGGCAAAGACTCGATTCCCTTTTTTAATCAGTTTTTTATTTATAGTGATGATGGGCCTTTTTTTACAACTTTTGAGGGCTAGATTTTTAGAAGGCAAAACACAAATACTGTAAACTTGTGAAGGTTCCATTATTTAAAAATGTTTTTCAGTAAAAGTTTGCTTTATGCTGTAAACATTCAAAATTTTTATCCTGAGAGAAAATATTTGGAAAAAACGATAGTTTTTGGTTTGGTTTTTGCATATATCTTCTAAAAAAGTGTAGGAAAGGACAATTAAAAAAAAACAATTTTCAAAGGATCTGAGTTTTTGCCACAAACTCTTATTTTCTAGCTCCTTTGTCTTTGCAACCCGATAATGGGATTATAAACTCAATTCCTTTGTTAAACTTCTTAGATTGTTTTGGCACCTTTAAGAAGTCTAAAAACCTGAAAAGTTTATGAAAACAATTTAAATTATTGTTCATTACTACTTATTTATCTCTACTGCTTAATAGTTTATGAAAACAATTTAAATTATTGTCTATTACTACTTATTTGAAGCTTATTTATCTCTACTGCTTAAAATGTCCATCCAATCATAGGGCAGCGTCTTGTCTAGTAATGCACATGTAAAACTGTCGCGGGAAACTCAAGCATTGACTAGAGTTAATTTTAGTAAATATCTCCTATAAACTGCAACACTCTAACCCTTCCTTGTATTTTGCGGAACCAAAACTTTTCAGATATAAAATATATATATTTATTTCTTCTAAGTTTTCCCCATTTATTCATTTTAATCGCTTAAACCACTTAAATATAATTCACTAAAACTCCATAACTCTATTCTTGTAATAACTTGAAAACTGATGAGTCCCAATTTGAGACGTTATCTTGTTTAATTATTTCATAGTTTGCGAATGTATAACTGAACCCTTCAACATACTAATATTAAGAAATGTTTTGTGCGTAATTTGTAACTGTGCAGTTTACAGTTCCCAATTATGAACATGCACACACCTCACTAATATTCAGCACGCTCTGTGCCTTCCTAATATTTTGAAATAATATCACCAGGAAAATTGATTCCCTAAGAACTTTATTTAAGTTTTATCAGTAGCTTAAAAATAAACTCATTAAGTGAAACATGGGTCTGTTTACACTGCACAATCACTGTGTTTCATGTTCATTGGACTATTTTAAATCATAACTTGAGCCTAAAAGTCGTGTACCTATTCTTTTGTGTACTGCAGGTCTCATTGTAATTTGTTTAGTTCACGAACTATGAGCTCCGGGAACCTAATGATTGTAATTTCAACTTTATTCAAATATTTGACGGTAAAACTGATGAAGAGCACAGACAGAAAACATTCTGTGGATCAGTAGCTGAGCCAGTCACTAGTAAGAGTGATGTTCTATATATCAGGTAGTCAGATTATTTTTTAAACTTTAAAAAACAAAGCATACTTTTATTTTATGATTTTTGATTATTTTCTACATTTTTTTGGTACGTTTATTTCTATATTTTGTAATTAACGTTGAAATAAAAATTTCTAAAAATAAATAAATTAACATTAAACGGATCAAAATAGAGTTGTGGAAAGAGTATTTTCAAAATACTTCTTTAATTTTCCATGGTTTAATTTCATGTTTTATGATTTTTTGGACCTTTTATTTGACACATTTATTTTTAAATTTGTAATTTCACTTCTTGACGATATCTTGGTAACTTTCTTCATTGAAATATTCTTAAATACTAAAACCAGCATCTGACCTGTTTCTGTCATAATCCTTTACTGCTGACTCTTCCATAGTTAAACTAGAATTGAATTGTTAAACTTGGTTGCAAAGTAGAATCTTAGATTCAACCCTGGTTTCAGTTCTCAGGGTTATACTCAATACTGGACGGTTGTGTTACCACCCAGAGAGAGAGAGAGAGAGAGAAAGGGTTAAAAGACTACCAGAGATCAAATAAAACGTGATTGGAATTTGGTGCAGGCTGTGAGGGTGAGGATATAGAATGTTAATAATGTGAGGGGAACGTGGCTTAGGTCACTATATGTAATGATTAGAAAATAGGACTTTGATGCATTCTTCGATAATGTTCATTTCATAGCAAGGGGGTCCAATTTTGCATTCAGGCTAAATCTTTGTCAAAATGATCTAAACTTTCTTTAAAATTTAAACTAATGTCACTTAGAAATTATTGCAAGGAAGTGAAATTCATCAAATGAAGGTTTAAAGGGTGTTTGACACTGCCCCCATTATTTGAAGGGTCAGTTTAAATTCCTGAATTCCATAATTTTTCTAGATTCTACGCGGATGGGAAGGGAAGGTCGTCTGCGTTTAGCGGCGTGTTTACAGCAATAAGAGACCTGGCGACCGACGACCTGGATGCCTGTCCAAATGGAGAGTATGACTGCGACGACGCGACGTGTATCAGCGATGATCTTATCTGTAACAGTGTCAGGTATTGTAAACACAAATCATTATTTTTTTAAAAATTGGGTTTGCTAATTATTAACAATTAAAAGGCTTGGGGGGGGGGGGGAGTGAGAATATGAATTTTTTAGAATAGAGCTTGTCTTGAAAAATTGGACTAGAATGATCGGCTGACCAAATAAAACGAAACCTCTAAAATATTTAAGAACTTTTCCCAGGGTTCTTTACTACATTTTCCCAGGGTTCTTTACTACATTTTCCCAGGGTTCTTTACTACATTTTCCCAGGGTTCTTTACTACATTTTCCCATGCACATTTCTGTAGACGATGTGTTTTGTCTTTCTAGAAAAATTTACAAATCTTCTCATAAACGTAAGGCAGTGCATTTAAAACGATTTCCCATTCGTTTTACTTTCTAAACCATGTACTGAGAAAATAGAAACTAACAAAAGCTTGCATTCACTGTCCAAATCAAGGAGTGTAAAGCGAATTTAAATGATTCGAGAATAGTAGAAAAAGCCAAGCATATTATGATCAGTATTAATCGTTTATCCTATTCTCTATATTCTGTGACAGCTGGGGCCGAATTTAATGAATTTGAGCTAGGTCTCTGAACTATAACTACCGCCGATTCAACTACTTATCTGTAATGCTGACATGGATAAATACTGAATCAAAGAGTCAAGATACGTGGTTGAACCGTCTCTAGACCTGGCTCAAGTTCATTAAATCCGGTCAATGTATGGTTTTTAATGCGTTTTTCTTCTAGAAACTGCAAATTTGGTTGGGATGAAGAGAATTGTTCAGTTGAGGGTTCAGCTATACCTCTAGACTTCTCAGAAACTCATGTCATTCTCATCCTCATCATCCTCATCCTCATCATGCTAGGTAATTATTCTCATCCTCATAATTTACATCTTCGTCATGCTAGGTAATCATTCTCATCCTCACCATCATCATGCTAGGTAATCATTCTCATCCTCATCATTTTTATCTTCATCATGCTAGGTAATCATTCTCATCCTTATCATGCTAGGCATCATTCTCATCGGCATCCTCATCATGCTAGGTAATCATTCTAATTCTAATCCTTATCATGTATGGTAATCTTCCACACCCTTACCATTTTCATGCATGATAATCATCTCTATTTTTATCCTCATCCTTGTCATGCCATTTTAATAAAACGTATTCTTATAATGCCATGCTATTCATGCTTATCCTTAGCATTCCATGGTAATCATTCTCATCCTTATTATGCAAAGTAATCATCTATATCCTCTTTATCCATGATAATTATTACCAATTTTATCCTTATTTTTATAAATAATGCCATGGTAATCATGCTCTTTCTTATCCTCTCATCCATTCTTCAATGCATAGCTTTTCATAAATAAAAATTGTTTAATAATATTTCAGAACAATAAGCATGAGTAATTTTATATTATGCTGAGCCTATTTATTTATTCTAATTTGTAAGAAAACATGAAAACTGAAAATCCAAAAATGAAATTTCCCTTGAAACTTGTAATAGGAACAATTTAACTTATCAGAGTTTAAAATAAATTTTATTTTCTATAAAAGTTTTGATCATTGATTTTCAAAAGAACGGTGCAACAAATATTTGTCTGGAAAAATAACAAAAACTTTATTATTTTTGTGCTACTCAATATAAAACGCGAAATTAATCATGAACAGAAACTGTTTTCTTCAAAATTCTTAAGTTGAAATTGCACGATGACTTTTTAGCTATAAACTATTTTCTAAAGCATACTTAAAAAAATAATTAAAGATTAAACATTTTTGTATAAATGTGAGTGAAACCTCTAAATTCTAAATATATTGGATTTAAATGAAGTTATTCTTGGCCACAAACTCTGATTTTCTAATCAACCTTTTTTTGCAACCCAATGTCAGACCTTCAACTTTTCAAATTGAAAAGAATTAATTCTGTTAGATCAAATAATCTAAGCTAGAAATATTAAAGGATTTACCATCCGGTTGCAAAGAAAAAGGTGTTCGAAAATTTGATTTTGTGGCAAAGACTCAATTCCTGTAAATTTTGTTATATTTATATTGAAGGGAGTGCTCGCTAAATTAAAATGTTGTTCAATATACTAGGAAGTATTCGCTAAACTTAAATTTTGTTTTATATAGTAGGACGTAGTAGGAAGTTTTCGCTAAACTCAAAATTTGTTTTATATAGTAGGAAACGTTCGCTGAACTCAAATTGTGTTTTGTATTAAAGGGAGTGCTCGCGTAATTCAAATTTTATTTTATATTAAAGAGAGTGTTCGCTAAATTAAATTATTTCGTATTAAAGGGAGTGTTCACTAAATTTTAATAATATTGTAGGAATGTGTACCGGTATGATCTATAACTTGGTGAGGAAGCTAACTGAGGACAAGGAGGATATCCTGGCATCCAGGGAGAAATCCCTCGCCTCCCTCGCCATGGGTGGCCTGGGGGAGAGTTTCCCAGATATACCCAGTCCGGCCAAGTCCCGAGCATCCCGTACAACCTCAACTGGAGATTGCAACGGTTGCTATGTACCTCCTCCTCCAGGTAGAACATATAATCTTTGATTCAAGGATCAGGATTTTTTTCTTTGAACTGGTATCTGCTGTTAGGGATGGACAATAATGTAACAAAAGAAGAAAAATGTAAAAAGATTTCACAAAAATCGGAAAAGCCTTAAATGTTTTAAAATTGTTTATTCTAAACATTTCTCAGCTTACATCCTGCCAAATAAAAGAAGAAACATGTAAAAACGAAGCAAAAAGTATTGTTTTAAAACAATCTTTGGTACGTTTTTTTCAGTTTAATAGAAGCAAACTTTAAAAAAATACAGAACTGTGAAATGTTTGAACCTTCAAAAGTTCAGTATTTGTGTTATGCTTACTTAACGTCTAAATAGCTTATTATAAATGTTATTGACGCGCGACCATCACAAATGGCCAGTGAGTCCAGTGTCCACAATCCACATCATATTTCTTGGTTGTTCTGAGCCGGCGATTTAAAAAATTCAAGAAAATACGACTCGGGTCTAAGCTGTCGTGAAGCCTTATTTACAGCTCGGGCTTTCGAATTTAAGTTGCATCTATTTTTCAACAGAATTTAGTTCATAAAACCGGTTTAATGTTGTATTTGGCGGATTTTCATAGTTGGAATTGGTGAATTCCGAGTTTTGATGAGAATAAGACCCAACATTGAGCCTTATTCTCCACTAAAACCAACAAAGGTCGGTTTTATTTTCATTGGGCCTAACTCCTTAAGTCGAGCCTAAGATCTCGCAGCTGTCAATCACGTGACACAAGCTGTCGTCAGAGTTGGGTCGAAGATTGGGTCTTAAAGCTGCGTTTAAGGAATTAAGACTCGAGCCGAAGCTTTTAAATCGCGGGCTCTGGCTTAATCAAATTTGATTTTAATTGTAATGTATGAACAGGGTTACCCAGAACGGATGTAAAAAATTTTTAATGTGTGTTTCCTAATTAATGATTCCCTGCAACTTTAAAATTCTTTCTTACTCTGCTAAATCATTATAAATAAGCCACAAAAAGACTACATTTAGGAATCTTCACATTTGAATAGTTTAAAGTTGTATCTACCGTCTCATTCTGGGTAACCCTGTACACTATAGTTTCAGTAGAAGTAAATATTTCCATTTACTGTTTATGCCCCGATATAAGGATTCATCATTTGATGATGAGAATGAGATAGACAGAAAGATAATTGATACCGCCAAGCAATTTCTATTGGTTCAGAAAAGACGCCAAACACATGTCTGAACCCTGATTGGATCAGACGCTAATGGAATCGCATACAAGTGTGATGTATGTACTGACTACCTGACTTTTTGCACCGACTTGACCTCTTTATGTAACACTTGATAACTTTTTTGTAAAATTAACTTTTTTCAGATGGAGGTTTCCCATTTGGCAGCAAATTTTAGCTGACCGCGGTGGTGACACTTGAACTGCAGAATCCACGTGTGTCACCGCAGGAAAGTTAGCAGTGGTTTGCGTGAGGGACACCACCGCGGGAGAAGTAGCAGTGTTAGCAATAAATTCACGTGTTCGCGCCATATTGAATGAAACTGTCGTGATAGTTATAATATTTAAAGAATGTATCACCTATCAAGTACATACATTGATTTTTTTACCGTTTTTCAGCTTGGTTTTATGGGTTTGTAAAGAGTGCAATTCTAGACAGTTGTTTTTTAATGTGAACTGAAATGCAATAATTCTTAAAGATCTATGAAACATGAACTTCTGAAGTGATCTTAAAGGTTTTTTAAATATACCATTAAAACAATTTTATTAAACTTAACCTAAAAGTTTTGCATATAGTTAAACCCTAAAAGTCTTACATCGAAAGAATTTATCAAATGTCGTCTTGACAATTTTTCAATGGGTTTTATACTATTTTACGTAAATCTCAGTATTTGCGAAATAAATAAATAGCCATGAATATGCGGGCACTGTTTTAAAGATCTCCATATCATCATTGAATTAAAAAACTAAATATCTGCAACATTCCATTTTCAGAAAGTGAAGAATCTGACATTTAATGAATTATTTCAATGTATAGCTTATTTAGGGTTTAAATGTATTTTAAATTTAATATTTTTCACCGCAGATATTTTCCGTTTATTAGCAACATCAAAACTAGTTTTCTATGCTTTTAATTGTCGATCTAAGAAAAAGTGGATTGAATAAACAGAGAACCCCTTAAAAGTACCATTTTTTCTAGTTTAGTTATAACCCGCCATATTTGCATAAGATGTTGTTTTTCTTGTCGTTCTCAAAATAATGTGGAATAAAACTACATTCAGATTTTTAGTTATTTTTGAAGAAAAAAAACCTTACTGAAAATTAACATAGAAAGAATTCAGGTGGTTTTCCTGTTAAATTTTTTTCTGTGTACCAGTTACCACAGCTCGACTGTATTATTATGAACCCTGATTTTCGTTTTACCAAAACTCAAAACTAACTATGTATTAGTACCCTTAAACTGTAGTACACTGAGTAAACTAGCTATAAGTACCCATAAACTTTAGTACACTGAGAAAACTAGCTATTAGTACCCTTAAACTGTATAGTACACTGAGAAAAATCTACCTTTTATTGTTGATGTACATTTTCCTTTATATTGTGTTAGTTTTTACAGGGTTACCCACCAAGGATGAGACTTCAGGGACAGTTGTACGGAATTTGTACTGTTCGTTTTCTTATTTTCCTGATTTCCTGCGACTATAAACTTGTTTCTTTCTTTGCAAATCATTATATAAACCATTACAAGACTGCACTTAATTTAACCTTGGAATCGTCATATTTAAAGAGTTTCTGGTCTCATCCTTTGTGGGTAATCTTGTACAGTCCATGTGATGTACACTGTACACGGATGCTAACATGTGCACTGTACATATGCTAACATGTACACTGTACAGATACTAATATATCATACACTGTGCAGATGCTAACATGTACACTGTACAGATGCTAATATGTACACTGTACAGATGATAATATGTCCACTGTACAGATGCTAATATCTGCACTGTACAGATGCTAATATGTCCACTGTACAGATGATAATATGTACTAATGTAAGAATGTTGTAAGACGACATTACTTGGCTGTAATAAAGCTATTTATAAGAACACTTGCAATTCAACAGTTTCTTAAGAGCTACTGGACCCATGGTTTCAAAGGCCCTTTACGAAATATTGCGGCCAAGCGCGGATAAAGGGGGTGGAGGGTTGGTCTAAAAGGGGGAGGGGGCCGTCGACCCCCTTGAGCCCTCCTGTATCCGCGACTGCTTGCTGCGCGATTTTTTGGTCTTACTCTATACTCATAGATCCAAGTTGCAATCTTGTTAACCTTTAATTGTATACTAGAACAAGTTGAGAAGAGATATATCCAAATTATTTCTGAGCCTGGGGGTGTGAAAAGCGCTTCACTAATTTTATCAAACACAAAGAAAAGATTTGTATGTGAAATAATCTTAGTTATTTTTTAAGATATATGTATATAATTAATAACTAAATTTTAAGAATTATGAACACATCTTAGACATTTCTATCCTATAGACATTTATCTTGGAGAGCAAGTATTGATCCAATACTTTCTGTGAATTCGTAAATTTTGTGAATATCATAAATATTTTCCGTTGCTTTTTGATTTTTAAACATACACCTCCCCCCCTCCCCCACTTCTGAAACATGATTACTAAAATTAAATCAAATCTGACACATTTATGTGCACTCACCGCTCATATGCTGAAAAAAATAGTATCTCATAATTTTTTAGTTAATCGTCAATAGATAAAATCTCTCTATCATTATCAATGTGAACAATGAACATCATCTATTGTTTAGTGCACAGGGTTACCCAAAAAGGATGAGAGTAAAAAGACGACCGAAAATTCCTTGAATGTGACGATTGCAAGGTTAAGTTAAGTCTTCTGTCTTAAGTAGAGTCTTTCAAGTGGCTTAAATACTGATTTTGCAAAAAAAAGTTAACAGTCACAGGAGATACCTAATATTAGAGAAAGTACAAATTCCGTATATTTGTCTCTAAGACTTTGAAGTATCATCCTTTGTAGGCAACCCTGTATTCAATCAATATAGTTTGGAATTTAAACAATTTAACCATTCATTATTTTCAGCAATGGGAATGGCAAGATTTGCCCGATCTATCTTTATCTATGGTTCCTTTATGATGTTCTCGAATATCCTCGGCATAAAGAGTTCCTTCTTATCTTGCATAATGAGTTACATACAACCTCTGGGTTATATTACACTTACATAAACCAACCAATAGTATACAATGTACTGTTATAGGGAGGAATGGGGGCATCTAGGGGAGAAGCATAGAGAATAGAATATATAGAGAGGAATTTACTAGAAAAAAGTGTAAAACGGCCATTTTGTTGTACTGTTTCCATACTGCAGGTGTACTTCACATATTTATGCTATATAACCTGTTGGGCCCTGGAATATCATTTTATAGAAAATCTAAAATTATTGTTAAAAGAAAGCCAAATTATGAAATAGGCTGGTTTCATAACTGACCAATGATCATTTCACATAGACTCTATGCCTTCCACTTTACAAACGATGATTTTCCGTTATGACTATAAATCAAATGATGTTTTTATTCACCTAATTCATTATATAGTTTATTTAACAAATTTAAAAAATTTCGAAATTGAAATGAATAGTCTAGGGAACATACTGTATTAATGTACTCTACTGCATATAATTTGTAAACATTTACATGATTTGTACACTTTGAACTCCCTTTCAGGCTAAAAGGGACTGAAAAAATTCATACCGAGAGATTCTTTCAATTCCTCTCTATATATTCTATTCTCTATGGGGAGAAGTGTTTAAGAAACAAAAAGAATAACAAATAGTATCTATATCTTCTATATAATGGAACAAGACATTCATATATATGTTTGTTGAACATAAATCTCCTAAAAATCCCCACATAATGTCCTCTTTACCAACCCTAAATTCAAACCAAAAATTTCTCCGACTCCGAGAGGTACTCTACCCTGTCAAAGAAAAATTGAAACAGTAAAACGTTTACTAGTGAAAATCAAATCCATTAATAACTTTGCAATTCATAGTAAATTATTCTTAAACAACCAGGTTTATATTTTCAGAAGTATTCCCAAATGTTTTAAACTATTCCATCAAACCCTCCAACCCTTTATCACTCCTTTATCACCCTGACACGAAAAAATAGCAAGTTATATTGTTAATCATTCAGAAACATTTATACAGTGCCATTTATTTTTACTACACCTGCATTTTATTGCAGGTTTGAAATATATCAGTTAACGAGATTATTTGCAACTTGTGTCAACCCAACACACCTATTGATCAAAGAACCAATCGATCAACCGAACAACCAACCAATTGACCAATCAGCCAACCTAACATATTAGTGTCGACGCCCACCTATGTTTCAACAATAGGTGGGCGTCGTATAGCCGGCCAAACGGCTGGACCAAATGGGCTGAAATTTTTTGTGGACACTCATGGCCCCATGGGTAGTCAAAGGGTGTCTTAGGTTAAAAAAATCGAACATTTTTTTCAACTTTTTATCCATGGGCAACCCCAGGCAATTCAGCTAGTATCACACATATGCGTATGAATTAAAAAATTCTTTTAGTATTACAGCTAAAAACTTTACTCTTACATTATCAAATAAATCATAAAGTATAGAAAAATTGTATCTTAACTCTAAATAGAAGAGAAAAATTTTTCTCAAAAATTATCAGTTTTACTTCTCAATCAGCGATGTGTACTACTATAGAACCTAACTTAATTTCAGAAATACACAACATAAAATCTGTTTTGAACACTCTTTTTCATAATTCAGTTTCATTTATCTGATAACATTTAACATGCAAATTCCAGTTTTTGTACGGCCTTTTTGGATTAAAAAACGTAACAAATAAAAATGACATGCCTCTATCATCCTTAATTTAATTCAAAAACAAGCGGTTCACAAGGGGCACCCCCCTTCACAAGGCCCCCCCCTAGAATTTTTATATCTTACTTTATCCATTTTTAAATCAACAAAGGAAGAAAGTTGGTTTTTAAAGTTCCTTAAACTCCTAGTATCTATAGCTGGCAACCATAGCTTCATGCTGGTTTGTCAAGTTCCCTAAACTCCTAGTATCTATAGCTGGCAACCATAGCTTCATGCTGGTTTGTCAAGTTCCCTAAACTCCTAGAATCTATAGCTGGCAACCATTTCTTCATGCTGGTTTGTCAAGTTCCCTAAACTCCTAGAATCTATAGCTGGCAACCATAGCTTCATGCTGGTTTGTCAAGTTCCCTAAACTCCTAGAATCTATAGCTGGCAACCATTTCTTCATGCTGGTTTGTCAAGTTCCCTAAACTCCTAGTATCTATAGCTGGCAATCATAGCTTCATGCTGGTTTGTCAAGTTCCCTAAACTCCCAGAATCTATAGCTGGCAATCATAGCTTTGACTCTCTTTTCTTGATCTCATCCAATAAAAGATTTTTAATGACAAATAAGAGACAACACATCCTTTTATTACGAGAGTTATTAACTGCCGTCACTCTCCTTCTATATATATATACACTATACAGGGTTTCACAATAGACATGGAAACTAAGAGACGACTTAAACATCTTCTTAGTTTTCTGATGATTGAAATGATTGTAATATTTAACCGTGATATGAGATTTTCAATTTTAATTACATAATACCGCGACAACCAGAGATAGGAAAGTCGTCACTTGATTTTAATGTTTATTGGACCACTCTGTACAATAAATACATTCGTCAGGATACATCCATCCTGTCCTAAATAAACCTGCATAGCTATGGAATTTTTGGGAACCACGGGATTGTGAAAGTTTTGCGAGAAATATGAAAAAATGTTACTTTTTCTGAAAGAATGAGAGAAAGAAGATAACGTAATCTTTGTGATTAAGTAATCAACTAAATTCCTTAATACTTTTATCGTTTAAAAGTTTAAAAGTTAAAGAGTTCGTTGAATCATTTGTGTGATGGAGGCCTTAAGACCAAATATTGAACATATTATCTAAAATATATATCTACTAGGATTCCGAGGCGCTTCGCGGCCATCTCCGATTTTAATTAACTTTTAATTGTTGATCTTAAAATCGATTCTTTCCTGGATTTTGAAGAAATCTAAATTTGTTCAGGGCAAATTTTATATTCTGGCCTTTCTGACCATCCATAAACCTTCCCTGGGTTCATATGAGATACCACATGACAAATCTTGGCCCAATCGGTTCAGCCGTTTTGACGTTTATTGGATACAAACAGACAAACAAACAAACAGACAAGCCAAATTTATTTATAGATTTGATACTAACGGATGGAAAGAGAATTTTACAGATACTATTAGAACTGAAACATTGAAACACAAAAAAGCGATTTTACCTGTATAGAGAACAAATAATTCCAACCCTAATCTTATAATCCCTATATCCTTGTAACCTGATGGTGCATTTCCAACATTGGCTCACTTTATAGTTAGAAATTTCAAATGTCTTCAACATCAGAATGTAAAGATATAAGGTGTACAAATTTTCGTTCACTTCCTTTGTTAAAACAACCTTAGCATGTTTCGCCTTCTCTCTAAGTCAACAAATTAAGCATAGATTTGAACGTTTCAAGTTTAAGTTGAAGTTCTGAAGAGAAATGAAACTTATTGTAAATATCAATCTGGAGAAAATAAGATTTTATTATTATTTTCTTGCAGAAGAGAAATATTTTGTTAAGTTAACATGAATAAAATATTATCCATGTCGTGAATACACAAATATAAAAATAAATATTATTAAATTTATTTTCAAGTTGACTAAAAATAATTTTGCAGCGGACGTCTCCATTTCTGAAATGAGCCCAACCAAAATATAATCAGATATTATAGTGCTTACAGAATTTATACAGAGACACCCTGTACATTGCATATTGTATGTTCCATAAATAAAAGAGTTATAAACATTTATAGTTTGAATGCACCAACATATATTCAATCTATAATTTATTAGGAAAACTATATTCTGAGTTTATATGTATCATGCATTATGTAGTTCTGGCGTAATTGCATCATTCATCATGCATTTCTAGCGTAATTGCATCATGCATTTCTAGCGTAATTGCATCATGCATTTCTAGCGTAATTGCATCATGCATTTCTAGTGTAATTGCATCATATATTCCTGGCGTAAATGCATCATGTATTTCTGGCGTAAATGCATTATGTATTTCTGGCGTAAATGCATCATACATCATGTATTCTTGGCGTAAATGCATTAAGTGAATCAAAATTTATTTTTTATCCGTTTTCTTTTCAAGACGACATACTTGAATTATCTTTACAATCGTCAGTGTAACTAATTAATAACTTTTATTACGATATATTTACAATAAACAAATTCATAAGTTTTATTTTACGTATATGTGTAAATGATGCTTAAGCAGTACACCAACCAAAGCTATTGATTTTCAACCAATCTTCAATATTATCGTCTTCGTTTTCAGAAAGATTTTCATGCATTGATCATTTACTCAGTATTTCGACTCCAAACATTACATCATCTAAAAATATATTTTTACTTTACAAAATTCCCATCAAGGGAAACATGACGACTTTAAAATCGTCTTAATCTTATTAATTAATACTATATTAATGTTTTTACTGTTGTTTTATTTGAGAGCAATTTTTCTCTGCATTTATAAGACAATTTCGCATGGATTTTTCTATCGCTTAATAACCAGCGGAATGCGATTTAAGAGTCCATTTACACATTAACAAGTCGTCTTCTGTCGACAAAAGATAAAAATTAGGAAATTTTGTTTTATGAAATTCATTGAAACGTAAGTTTTTCTCAACAAGGAACTTTATTTAAACAAAAAAATCTTTTTTTTTTACTTTTTCTTTAAATCTTTTTATAATGCTATAAAGTTTAACCTTTTTATAATGCTGTACAGTTTAACCATTTTATAATGCTGTCATACAGTTTAACCTTTTTATAATGCTGTACAGTTTAACCTTTTTATAATGCTGTACAATCTAACCTTTTCATAATGCTGTACAGTTTAACCATTTTATAATGCTGCACAGTTTAACCTTTTTATAATGCTGTACAGTTTAACCTTTTTATAATGCTGTACAATCTAACCTTTTTATAATGCTGTACATTTTAACCTTTTATAATGCTGTACAGTTTAACCTTTTTATAATGCTATACAGTTTAGCCCAGAACTTCGGAGCCATCGAAAGAATTGAAATAATCTCGTTTTCTTAACCTATTGCTAATAGAATGCTGCAGATATTAAATTTTTTAATTAAAATAATTAAATAACAGTTCCCGCAAATTGTATAAATCCCATTGAAAAATCGCAAAGACGACATTCTATAAATTCTTTTGATTTCTCCGAAGTTTTGGGTTAAACTGTATACATTGTACCCTTAAGTAAGCAGCCTTCTAACCTAGATTTGGTTTAAGAACAATGTAGAGGAATATCAAGGTGTACAGCTGAATAGAAACAGAGCCTGTACATAAATAGATTTTATGGACACTAAAGATTTATCGTATTACAGTAGTGATCAGAAAACAGTGGAATTCTAGTTGTTTTTGTTCTTTATATTTATTTGTAACGTTTTTACCTCAGATCTTTCTTAATTGTTCACATTTTTAGATAAATTATTAACAAATTCCTTATAGACATTTGGGAAATAAATAGAAAGAAAAAACAATACTTTTATTCCACTGTTTTCTGGTTATCACTGTAAATGTTACAATAAATACAAAATGGTAAAGACCCAAATTTGTAATTTAAATCATAATCATTATTATTTTATTGAGTCAACGCGGAATTAATAAATTACTTTACAATCTTTCAAATAAACTGCTAAGATTGATTTATCTCTATTTAAATAATCAGGGTTCATTTTTCTATAACTTTCACCTTAAATCAATTTTTGTTTTTGTTCAAAATAATTTCACACTGTGTCCGAATTTAATGAAATTGAGCCTCGTCTTAAATCCGCCAAAAACCGGTTTTAATTGAGCGCCGGCTTAAATCTTGAAACATTGACTACAATTTTAAATGAAACCAACCATATTTGAGCCGCAGCTTAAATTCAAGCCGCCGCTCAAATTCTTTAAATTCTGCCTCTGGTTAATGAATATTTAAATAAAATTTCATAATTTTACAATATCTTTCTGATCTTACTTACCAATACAAACTGTCAAGAATCCATTCGACAGATTGTCAGGCAAACCCAAAGCATCCCTTTAAAGTTAAAGTTTATTGTGATTTAATGGAATTTAAAGTCAATGAAGCAATGAGAGAAAATTCATCCGATCTACCATATCAAATCAAATAATATGTTTGTTTCTGCTGTAATAATAAATCATAACAGTTGTTAACAAAACATTATAGTACATTATATATATGTAAAACTATTGCAGCAGGAGAGCTTTGATAGAGATGTTTTCACAAATAGCTCTCAATTGTCATCCTGAAGATAATTAATTTCTTGAAGAAGGTTAGAGATGGCATATCATATAACTCTGATTACGTTTCTTCTCAATACTTTACAATGGCCGACCAGACATGACGTCTCCGACTGTGTGCGTCCTTGTCGTCTATTAATCATGTTAGAATCTAGTGTGAACCATCTAGCGGACATACTATCGTCATATGACGTTATTAGGACGGACAATGTTCCTAAATTCGTTGGGATAGAACAGCCTCTGTAGACAGTGTTCTTCTTTGTTTGTAAAAAAGCTCTAAAATCGTCTTTTTAAGTGTTAAATAAAAGTTCTACAACGCTGGAAGCACCATTCAATCTAAATTAGAAAAATGCCATTTATCTTGCATTTTGCTTTCTTTAGTCATCATATTTTTTTTTGGTATCCTTGTCTGCTAAGCAGTGAACTGTTGGGATAAAGCGGACTGACTTCATTCCCTCTTTATATTATTTATATTATTGTATATGAATAAAAATCAATAAAGCAATGCACTGAGTTTCTCAAATATTCAACGAGTCGGTTTTTCTTACAATATATTTATATACAAAAGATACAAAAAATACAAACTTTAAATCGAACGATACTTATACAAACTAAATATTATGAATCAAATCAGTTTCATCAAATAGGGGAATTCTTCAAGGGAACCTAACAAATAGGGAGCTGGTCTTCAACTAACTCCCCTCCTTCGATTTTGCTCCATCCTAGGATCGCATTTAACCCTAGCTACCCCGGGGTTGTTCCGCCCCCTCCCCAACGCTTGGGTCTTCAAGATAACGGAAAATTCGGCGTCGCTTGGGTTATTTATAGAATCCAAATGCAAACTCAAATAAATCCGTTAGGATTCAAAATAGGATTCTAAAGTCCAACCGTAGGGTTAACGATGGGGGGGGGGAAGGGGGCATGATTCCCCTTGGTAGCTATGATCTCAGCGATCCAAAAAATCCTTGAATTGCTGATCGTAAAAGATCAACAAAACTCGTCCACTGTTACAATATACATCATTTGATGCATATAAAAAAGTCCAACTAAAATTCACAAAATTTAAGTTTAAAGCCCCCCCCCCTTTGAATATTGTAGTTGAACCCCTTATGTGGAACTTTACCTAAGAATGATCAGAAGGTTTTCTGGAGGTGTATCTATAGAGTCTTCAAACCACATTATAGGAACTAACAACCTATCCTCAGGTATACTAGTAACAGTTATAGATTATGAAGCGGTTGAACTATATATGACTGGTTCAACTATCTCAGGTATAATAGCAACAGTCATATATTAGGAAGTGGTTGAACTATATATGCCTGGTTCAACTATCTCAGGAAAAATAGCAACAGTAATAGGATAGTAGGAAGTTGTTGAACTATGTAAGTCTGGCTCAACTATCTCAGGTTTACTAGTAACAGTCATAGATTAGGAAGTGGTTGAACTAGATATGTCAGGTTGAACTACTTCGCTAGACCAATATCGACAAGATTACTAAGCTCAGTTATTTTACATTTCTTATCCCTTTTGAATTCAGTTAGGGCAGCAGATGGTATAAGTCTATAAGATCTAAGCTGTAAATGTAATAGAGGTAGTGGAATCAGGTATGACTGGCACAACTAATTCTTCTTTGATTGTTATTTGATATTGTATACGCGTAAGTAAAGTCTGCACAAACAAGCTTAATCGAATTTTTTTCCTTATTGAGCTCAATAACTTGTCAATGAATGAAAGCCGACATTTGAAAATATTCCGAAATTATCATGTTTTGTGGGACACATACTATTTTTAATATACCTGGAGAAGAATGGAATTTCATGAGCCTTCATAATATCCAGGTTAATCTGTAACCGAACCTGATGCATAATTCCGTATTTTACTATATTTAAGAGTTTTTTAAATAAGATTACTTTCAAGTGACCCTCCGGTTCCCTTGAAACCTTTATTGTGGAAGATATTGTCGTGTTGGCTAAAAGTATTTAATTATGTTAATTCCTATTTTCTTTCCTGCAGTAGAAAAGCGTAAGTCTCTTTTAAAGTGAAATCACAATTAAAAATAATCAGTTTCAAAATTATAAACATTGATGTCTAATTAATGTTTGAGCTGCAGTAAAAGCTTTAAAGGGTATCGTTGTGTGTCGGATATTTCTATCTAGAAATAAAGGGTTTCTTGAAATTACGTTCACAGACCCTTCAAGGCAGGTTTTTAAAGCAGTAATGTCTAGTTTGTTTATGTTTAGGACTATATTATGATCATAATGTATGGGATATTAGGAACACGTTTTAATTCGGCTTCTTTCAATATTATTTTTTATTGCTTTTGCATTATCCATCATTTTTATTATGCATTACATTTACCATCCATACTGTTTGCAGTTTTTATAAAATTAAATAAATCTTAATTACCTTCGCAGAAAGACCCATTCCCATCTGCGGTTGAATATTCATATAAAACCTAAACAAGGAAAAGTAGTGACTTGATATCCATTAGTTTTGAGGCACTCAAGTTAATAAAGTGCGTATGTAAGTTACAGACTATTTTAGCAGTTATTTCAGAGGTGTACGCATCTTTTGTACTTCAGTGTACTGTCTCTGGGCGGTAATGTAAACACAAGACGGATGTCACAACCTGACATGGGATCCATCTTTCACATAAAAATCAATGAAATATTCTGGTCAAAGGAAACAAGCTGATGCATCTATTCTTGTTTACAAATTCCGCCCAGAAATAACTGGTTTCAATATGTACACAGAGTATACGCAACTGCAATTAACAATCCTTGCATTATAACCTTGGGTTACTTGGGCTAGTTATACCAATACGTATATGTATGTCAGGTGTTTTCCCAATAGATTTTTCCCAAGTGGATACTTCCCAAGGGTATTTTACCAAATGGCAACTTCCCATCTGCACAAATTCCCAAACGGCAACTTCCCAAGTCTGTCCTAACCGCAGTGCGCATCCCCAGCCTATTCTAGCCGCGGTGCACGGCCCCCTAACCCATCCTAACCGCAGCGCTCTGCCCCCGTTGCAGACTGTGGCACCTCAGAGGGCCCCGGCCTAACCTAACTCTTGGAAGTTGCTCCTGGGGAAATGGAACATTTAGGAAGTTGCCATTTATGAAATTGTAACTTGGGAAGTCGCCCTTGGGAAAATGCCTTGGTAAAAATACCTAACACAACTTATATGCCTCCCTACCTATGCTTTTCTTCTACAGGAGTAAGGCCTTCAACCTTATCTGCATGTTGAGGCGCATCTAGGAAGTGGGGCCTGAACAAACATTGGGCAAATAACATACTTTTATTTTCAGTTTTCGTCTTTATTTTTTCTCACCAAGACACAACAAGAGGAGCTCCATATTTACAGGGGGATACATAGAACACGCCATTATCTAGAATATTCAAGTATAATTCATAAAATGGAGCTCTATATTTACAGGAGGATACATAGAACACGCCATTATCTAGAATAGTCAAGTTTTGTTCATAAAGAGTAGCTCTATATGTACAAGGGGATACATAGAACACGCCATTATCTAGAATAGTCAAATTTAGTTCATAAAGAGTAGCTCTATATGTACAGGGGGATATATAGAACAAACCATTATCTAGAATAGTCAAATTTAGTTCATAACGCATAGCTCTATATGTACAGGGGGATATATAGAACAAACCATTATCTAGAATAGTCAAATTTAGTTCATAACGCATAGCTCTATATGTACAGGGGGATATATAGAACAAACCATTATCTAGAATAGTCAAATTTAGTTCATAACGCATAGCTCTATATGTACAGGGGGATATATAGAACAAACCATTATCTAGAATAGTCAAATTTAGTTCATAACGCATAGCTCTATATGTACAGGGGGATATATAGAACAAACCATTATCTAGAATAGTCAAATTTAGTTCATAACGCATAGCTCTATATGTACAGGGGGATATATAGAACAAACCATTATCTAGAATAGTCAAATTTAGTTCATAACGCATAGCTCTATATGTACAGGGGGATATATAGAACAAACCATTATCTAGAATAGTCAAATTTAGTTCATAACGCATAGCTCTATATGTACAGGGGGATATATAGAACAAACCATTATCTAGAATAGTCAAATTTAGTTCATAACGCTTAGCTCTATATGTACAGGGGGATACATAGAACACACCATTATCTAGAATAGTCAAATTTAGTTCATAACGCTTAGCTCTATATTTACAGATATATAAAAAACGTCATTATGTGGATAGGGATGCACTGTACAGTGTACATATGTAAAACTTGTGTATGTACCTGTACAATTAGCTGGTGAAACACAGTAGCATTTATTTTCTGGAGCCAGGTAGTTAAACGCCTGGGGGTCGGGTTGAAACCTATTTAGTAAAATCATAAACAAATTAATCTTTACATAAAGTATTTAAAAATATATTATTTACCTTAATGTTTCAACACCACTAATAGTTTCTGTTTTGTCAAATACTAATGGAAGCTTTCTAAAAAATATATTTATCTATTTGTAGAATAAAATGAAAGGGAATTGTAACAGGATAAGGTTTAATGGATTGGATGTATAAGGGTTGGGTTGGATACTGATTGAATGAACCAAGGTTGGGTAGAATACGGATTGAATGATTCAAGGTTGGGTTGGATATGGATTGAATGAATCAGGGTTTGGTTGAATACGGATTGAATGAATCAGGGTTGGGATGGATACGGATTGAATGAATCAGGGTTGGGTTGGATATGGATTGAATGAATCAGGGTTGGGTTGGATACGGATTGAAGGAATCAGGGTTGGGTTGAATACGGATTGAATGAATCAGGGTTGGGTTTGATACGGATTGGATGTATCAGGGTTGGGTTGGATACGGATTGAATGAATCAGGGTTTGGTTGAATACGGATTGAATGAATCAGGGTTGGGATGGATACGGATTGAATGAATCAGGGTTGGGATGGATACGGATTGAATGAATCAGGGTTGGGTTGTGAGCAAATTGAATGAATCAGGGTTGGGATGGATACGGATTGAATGAATCAGGGTTGGGTTTGATACGGATTGAATGAATCAGGGTTGGGTCAAACAAGGATTGGATCAATCAGGATTGGATTGGATGAATCATGATTTTGTCAAGAGTCAAGAAATCCCTTTGTAGAAACACCGGATAGAAATATTTCCGGCACCTTCATTTTAGTTTAAAACAGAAACAAATTGTCTGGTATACTGTTTACCTACAGATATCTGGGATAAAAATACCAAGTCTAGTGTCTGGTTTAATACTGGGAGGAAACTGGCTTCCTTCTCCACCAGAGATACTGTTACATTCATCAGAACCCCAGCTAGTATATTCAGACCTGGAAAGAAGACTAGATTACTTTCTAATCTCTTAAATTAGATCCTCAGCTACTATATTCAGACCTAGAGAATAGATTAGATTAGTTTCTAATCTCTTCCATTAGAACTCTAGCTACTATATTCAGACCTGGGGAATATATTTGATTAGTTTCTAATCTCTTCCATCAGATCTCCAGTTACTATATTCAGACCTGGAGAATAGATTACATTAGTTTCTAATCTCTTCCAATAGCTCTCCAGTTACTATATTCAGACCTGGAGAATATATTTAATTAGTTTTTAATCTCTTCCATTAGATCTCCAGCTACTATATTCAGACCTGAAGAATATATTAGAAAGGTTTATAATCTCTTCCATTAGATCCCCAGCTACTATATTTAGACCTGGAGAATAGATTAGTTTATAATCTCTTCCATTAGATCACAAGCTACTATATTCAAACCTGGAGAATAGATTAGATTAGTTTCTAATCTTTTCCATTAGATCCCCAGCTACTATATTCAAACCTTGAGAATAGATTATTCTCAGACTTTAAAGAAATCTACTGTCTCTTTCTTGATGAAATTACGAAGCCACAAATCCTTTTTTCTTATCATATTCGGATCATATTCAGATTTTCGATCTCTATAAAGTTTATTTAAAGAGAGTAACCGCCAAGGGATCGCTGTCATTAAAGTCCAGATTTCCAGAATAAATCATATTTATGCTTTCATCTCAACAATAGGTTTTCACATAAACAATATCCGGAACAGGAATAAACAATTCCTTTTTACGACTTTTTTATTTTGAAAATAATTTACCTTTCTTTCCATGAGGTTACTCCCCCTAGATTAGATAATCCTTCAGAACCAAAACCTCCTCTAGCAATTCGTTTAGATTTAGTTTAGGTATTGATTTTAAAATTGATTTAGAAATTGATTTAGAAATTGATTTAGAAATTGTTTTAGAAATTGATTTAGAAAATGATTTAGAAATTGATTTAGAAATTGATTTAGAAATTGATTTAGAAGTTGATCAAATTCTAAGTTTTACTCATCTGAAGTTTATTTATTTAATCAAAGAAGATTTAAAAAATATCAAAAATAAATTGTGCCAACTTTACTCCACAATGTATTAACCTATCTATAAATTGATCCATAAAAAGATCAATTATCCGTTGATCAAGAAAATGATCAATCAAATATATATACCTGACACTGATCCTACCGTCACTCGACATATTCCTAAAATAGTTTTATAATTTTAGTATTATTTATAGATAAAGTATTTAGTATCCTACCTGCCTGCCATAAGTCCATAATATCCAGTATTCAACCTTCCTGCTATAAGGCCAAAGTATCCAGTATCCTACCTTCCTGCCATAAGGCCAAAGTATCCAGTATCTACCTGCCTGCCATAAGTCCGACGAATCCAGTATTCTACATTTCTGCCATAAGACCGAAGTATCTAGTATCCTACCTTCCTGCCATAAGACCGAAGTATCCAGTATCCTACCTTCCTGCCATAAGTCCGACGTATCCAGGTAACTACCTTTCTGCCATAATACCGAAGTATCAATTATCCTACCTGCCTGCCATAAGCCCCAAGTATCAGGTATCCTACCTACCTGCCATACGACCAAAGTATCCAGTATCCTGTGCCTTCCTGCCATCAGTTCAAAGTATCCGTATCCTACCTTCCTGTGATAAGTCCGAAGTATCCAGTATCCTACCTGCCTGCCATAATCCCGAAGTATCCAGTATCCTACCTTCCTGCCAGAAGACCGAAGTATCCAGTATTCTTCCTTCCAGCCATAAGTCCGACGTATCCAGTGTCCTACCTTTCTGCCATAAGACCGAAGTATCCAATATCCTACCTTCCTGCTATAATACCGAAGTATCAATTATCATACCTGCCTGCCATAAGTCCAAAGTATCCAGTATCATACCTGCCTGCCATAAGTCCGAAGTATCCAGTATCCTACCTGCATGCCATTAGACCGAAGTAACCAGTATTCTACCTTCCTACCATAAAATCGAAGTATCCAGTATCCTACCTGCCTGCCATAAGACCGAAGTATCCAGTATCCTACCTTCCTGCTATAAGACCGAAGTATCCAGTATCCTACTTGCCTGCCATAAGACCAAAGTATCCAGTATTCTACCTTCCTGGCATAAGTCCTACGTATCCAGTATCCTACCATTCTGCCATAAGACCGAAGTATCTAGTATCCTACCTGCCTACCGTAAGTTCTAAGTATCCAGTATCCTACCTGCCTGCCAAAAGTCCGAAGTACCCAGTATCCTACCTTCCTGCCATAAGACCGAAGTATCCAGTATCCTACCTGCCTACCATAAGACCGAAGTATCCAGTATCCTACCTCCCTGGCATAAGACCGAAGTATCCAGTATCCTACCTTCCTACCATAAGACCGAAGTATCCAGTATCCTACCTTCATGCCATAAGACCAAAGTATCCAGTATCCTACCTGCCTACCATAAGTTCGACGTATCCAGGTGACTACCTTTCTGCCATAATACCGAAGTATCAATTATCCTACCTGCCTGCCATAAGCCCCAAGTATCAGGTATCCTACCTACCTGCCATACGACCAAAGTATCCAGTATCCTGTGCCTTCCTGCCATCAGTTCAAAGTATCCGTATCCTACCTTCCTGCCATAAGTCCGAAGTATCCAGTATCCTACCTGCCTGCCATAAGCCCGAAGTATCCAGTATCCTACCTTCCTGCCATAAGACCGAAGTATCCAGGTTTTCTTATTTCCTCCTCTGGTAAGACCATAGTAGCGCCAACTAAGAATATTTAAATCTAAGATTTTGATTCTTAAAGTACATATTCCCGCCCATTTATGATTTCAAATATTTTTATCATTATAGGTTGAATCTTTATATTTTTTAAATCAAACAAACTCCAAAGCGCAAATACTTCGCCTTAAACTTTCTGATTGTTGTTGAAGCGTATTTTGTACTAAGAAATCCGTTCTGGAACTAGAAACCTTATGGATTAGGAGAGAGAAACTTTGTTTATCCTTTGCTAAAAAATGTCTAAAATCTCAAAGGCATTCTGTCCTATTCCCGGTAGAACCAGTCACTCACAACCACCAGCTACGGAACGTTGAACTATTTACTGTCAACTATGCTAGAACGGAGAACTACAGAAAATCTGATATTCCCTATATGCAGAGAAAATTAAACTTCCTATAATATAACCTTATCTTATTTTGTGATAAAACCCATGATATATTCAATTATATTCCTATGAGAATGTTAATCATATTATAATATGTAATATGATCTTGATTTATCTCTAATAAATCTTACTTACTTACTTTTAAGAAATGTTCAAATTAAAAAACCACAAAATCAAAAAAAAATAATCCAGTAAAGTAGGTAAAGCTGACAAATCAAGCATGTCTTTGAGATGTAATTTTCTCTTTCAATATTAAAGATTTTAATTCGAATTCAATCTAAATCAAAAAAGGCATATCTAATACAAACTATTAACTAGTTATGCCTGCTATTGTTCCATCTGTTTAATGGGACTGTCGTTGCAATTTCAATTGACTAAACAATTTCCAGACAAAAGCTGCTGTTGTGATTCAGACATTCACATGAATTTTGGTGTACCATCCCTTTAATATGTTTTTAACTATAGTGTACCTAGTAATGGTTCCTCGTAACCCCAAAGAATATCTTTAACCTAGAATATATAATAAAAAATTTAAAAAAGAAACAGATATTAGAATATCGATTTGAATAGAAACAGCTATTAGAATACCAATTAGATTTGTAACAAAAACATATCCAATCATATATTTTACCAAATAGATTATCAAGTACAATAGATGGCAAACTAGAATTTGCACACTTTCAGTACAGCTGTATTCTTACGTCACAAGTGTCAACTTCGTTTTTGTGTCCGACAAAATTATTAATAATAGTGATAATTTTAGAATAAAGTGCTTATCTCACAGTAAGATAAGTGTAATTTTATGTGTTTTTTTTATTTTCTGTTTTTACACTTTTTTATTTAATCTTGGAAAATGGGAGAAAATGTTGTCTTCCTTGTTATATTTGACACGTGTGACGTCGTGTATAATTGGTCTATTTCTTTGTTGCCACCTATTGTACTTGATAATCTATTTGTATACTACCAACTCTAAAAGTTTGTGGACACTTGAAACAAGAAAAAATAAATGAGTCTTTGCTCCAAAACCAAACTAAACACTATATCTTTGCAACATGAATGCTTGTACACATCTTTGACATTTCAAACCATTATTTGACATAATAGAATTCATAGCTCAGTTTTCTAAAATCAACATAGCTTTTTTTGACATACAGAAACTAATCTTACCGGCACTGAAACTAATCTTACCGCCACTGAAACTAATCTTACCGGAACTGAAACTAATCTTACCGGAACTGAAACAAACAGTTTACTCTCGAACATCTCTATTGCAGACTGAAAATAATAATTCATATTTATATTCATCATAATTCATATTTATATTCATCATAATTAATATTCACATTCATCATAATTAATATTTATATTCATCATAATTCATATTTATATTCATCATAATTAATATTCATATTCATCATAGTTCATATTTTTATTCATCATAGTGCATATTTATATTCATCATAGTTCAAATTTATATTCATCATAGTGCATATTCATATTCATCATAGATCATATTTATGTTCATCATAGTGCATATTTATATTCATCATAATTCATATTTATATTCATAATAGTTCATATTTATATTCATCATAATTCATATTTATATTCATCATAATTCATATTAATATTATCAAAATTCATATTAATATTCATCATATTTCATATTTATATTCATCATAGTTCATACTTATATTCATCATAGTGCATATTTATATTCATCATAGATCATATTTATATTCATCATAGTGTATATTTATATTCATTATAATTCATATATATATCAATAACCACAACTCTATTAATTACCTGAAAGGCCCAAACAGTCAATTCATTTTGCCCCTTCATCCTAACAAGTAAAAATAGAACTGAGACAGAAATCATAAATGTTGGAAAGTTTATACATGATGATTGATGGTACCTAGTGTTGAATAGTTAAATATGAAATGAACCACCCAATGGGGGATATCAATATTCTAGTCGTCATCAGGTCACGCACCAATAAAAGAACAAAGTAGTTGAACATTTATATTGAAAGCAAAACAAATAAAAGGATTAAAGAACAAAAGCGATGTAGATATACTGCTTCTACAGTTCATCCAGAGTTCCAGGCTTGGGTTTCCTGAGATGAGATTTTAAAAGCGTAAACCCAAGTAAAACCCGGTCTTTGCGTCTGCTGAGACCTAAGTAAAGCTCAAGTGAAGACCGGGTTTTTGATGGCCTTGAGTTTAGTAAAAACCAAACATCTTGGGATTTTCTCTCTTTAAGGCTCGTGCCTTCAGCAGCTGATGATCATGAATTTCGTAAAATCTTTTATATTTGTACGTTTAAAATCTCGGGAATTATTTGTAGTGTGAAATTTTATTAAATATATAAAATAAACATACTATGAAAATAATGTAACTATATAAAGTTTAATTTTCGAAATTTACATCTCCTTGTCAAAGCTGATCTGACGGCATTTTGTCTGCTACAGAGAGAAAGCTTACTAAACAGTCTCTCATTGGTCGAATCAGAACTAATCCTGACTTGGGTTCTATCTAAGCCTGAGTTTGGGTTTTACTCGGGTTTAAGCTTTTAAAATCTCATCTCTGTACTCAGTGGTAGGTTTCCTGTGCTCTTCTTAAATCATCTTGTTTTCCCACAGCTCTGATCCAACATAGCAGATTTAGACCAACTGCTTCTTAGATTGTCCATTCTACCACTGGGTATCCTGTGCTCAGTGATGGGTTTCCTGTGCTCTCCTACAATAATCTTGTTTTTTTCCACAGGTCCGATCCAACCAAGCAGAAAAAGACTGACTGCTTCTTAGATTGTCCATCCTACCACTGCAGGATGTTGGCGAATTTCTTCATCTTCTCCTTGCGAAAGCTGGTGCGCAACTAACTTGTCTTGTCGTTACTCTATTCTCTGTGTTCTAGATGCAGAAACCCAGGCAAGCAACTTTTCATGGGCTTATCACGCTCTGTACACACAGTGTGAGTAGGCCTTATATTCCATGAAGAAACCCCAGTTTGGTTTTCTTTACTAGGCTGATTCCATGGTAATACTAGCCTTTCCGGAGCATACTTGATGGTAGCTAGCCTTTCCGGAGTATACTTGATGTAACCTAGCTTTCACGGTGTATACTTGATAGTACCTATTCTTTCCGGAGAATACTTAGCTAGCTACTCCGGAGTATACTTGATATAACCTAGCCGTTCGGGAGTAAACTTGATGGTACCTAGCCTTTCCGGAGTATATACTTGATGTTACTTAACTATTCTGGAGTTTATACTTTATGTTACCCAGCTGCTCTAGAGTATAAACCTGATGATACTTATCTAATTCAGAGTATATACTTGATGTTACCTAACTGCTCTGAAGTATATACTTGATGGTACCTAGCCTTTTCAGAGTATAATTGATGTTGACTAGCTGCTCTGGAGTATATACTTTCGATGGTACATAGCCTTTTCAGAGTATATACTTTATGTTACCTAGCTATTCTGGAGTATATATTTTATGTTACCTAGCTGCTCAAGAGTATATGCTTGACGTTACCTAGCTAATTCGGAGTATATACTTGGTGTTATCTAGTGGCTCTGGAGTTTATTCTTGATGTTACCTAGCTGCTCTGGAGTATATGCTTGATGTTACCTAGCTACTCCGGAGTATGCTTGAGGTTACCTAGTGCTCCGGAGGTTATACTTGATGTTATATTTTTATTCCAAACACCTAGCTACTCAGGAGTATACTTGATGTTACCTAGCTGCTCCGGAGTATATACTTGATGTTACCTAGCTACTCCGGAGTATATACTTGATGTTATATAGCTGTTCCAGAGTATATACTTGATGTTACCTAGCTGCTGCGGAGTATATACTTGATGTTACCTAGCTGCTGGGGAGTATACTTGATGTTACCTAGCTGCTCCCGAGTATGCATTATGTTACCTAGCTGCTCCGGAGAATACTTGATGGTACCTAGCCTTTCCGGAGTATATACTTGATGTTACTTAGCTATTCTGGAGTTTATACTTTATGTTACCTAGCTGCTCCAGAGTATATGCTTGACGTTACCTAGCTAATTCGGAGTATATACTTGATGTTATCTAGTGGCTCTGGAGTTTATTCTTGATGTTAACTGTTACCTAGCTTCTCTGGAGTATGCTTGATGTTACCTAGCTACTCCTGAATATATTTAATGTTACCTAGCTTCTCTGGAGTATACTTGATGTTATCTAGATGCTCCGGAGTATACTTCATGTTACCTAGCTGCTCCGGAGTATACTTGATGTTACCTAGCTGTTCCGGAGTATACTTGATGTTACCTAGATGCTCCAGAGTATACTATATGTTACCTAGCTGCTCCGGAGAAGAGAGGTATGTTTGGAAGAATAACTAAAGAATTAGGATCACAACCAAACTTCTCTGGTACAGGATCAAACCTCTTTACTATACATCAGAATTTTTCTTCAAATATTTAAACGTTGTTTTCAAAATTGAAACTCCATCTACACGAGAAAGTGGGACTAACTGAATTTTTAAATTGCATTAAAGAAACCTAGATATATACATTTTTTCATCAATTATTGGAATTTAGTTGCCTCAATTAACAATTTGGATTTAAATTGATTGCAGAAAATTACACTTTACAATATACTTTAATAGTCTAAATATTGTGGAAACAGGAGAGAGAGGGGGTGTTGTTTTTTGAAAAAAACTTTAATGAGTGTGCCTAGATCATAACTAACATCTCCTCCTTCCTCCATTTTTACATTAGTTTTCCACCAGGTTTCCCTAAAATATATTATTCTTTGTGGCAAGTTACATGAGCCCAGGTAAGGTTTATGACTAGTCAAAATAGAAATAAATTTTCCCCAAAGAAAAAAATCGACTTTTATAACTTTCGAAAATCCACCAATTTTAACAGTTAAATCTGCAAAATTTGCTGGAAAACGATGAAAATGTTGCCTTGAAAAGCAATGCTAAAATTTACGGAGATATTTACAGATAAGAAGGAAAATTTTGAAAAAGAACACATCTTCAATAATATCGTCAATTTATAAACTATAAAAAAGTAAATAGAACCTATATACCAAAGGACCTATTTCGTCCAGCTTGAGTTTAACTCGTCCTTGCCCAGCCAACCATTCGTCCTTGTTCGTCACATTGAAAACATACACCTTAATATATAAAATATTGTTAAAGAGATTGTTCAGATATTCTTGAAATCTTTAAGGTAACAATAATTTATAATAAGATTTCAAGTATTCCTGTTTCTTAGATACTTTTATATCACATTTTAAGAAATGGTTCAAAATTTTTCATTTTTTATACCTTCATTACAGGGTGAATTGGTGGCTCCGACCATAAATGATAAAGAGCACCTCCAGTTTTCACGATTAGCTCCGAGTTTATTTGATTTCTACAAAATATAATTTTCTAAATTAAATTGAACTATTTGAAATTTTGATAAACCAACCTGATAATGTTATCAAGATTTGACCAACCGAAAAATCCTGAATAAGTTTGGATTCATTTTTTTAATTCCAATCTTTAATTATATTTTAACAGACTAATTTTTTACGGAAGATGCATTTTTTACAGTCCTTGAATCCGTCCCTAGAGCTATTATACTAAGTATCTGTAGAGGAATGTAGGTCTTGGTACACGTTCTACTCCGGGTCCTAGATTCAGTAGAGGAAAACCAATTCATCATTTTTACACTGGAATTAAATATGGAATTATTTTAGGGAACTACGATAACAACAATACAACATAAGACATACAGTATGTATGCACCTCATTTTCACCTTCTGTATAGAGTAAATAATGAATGCACAGTAAGGTGTCATGTATCTATTTACATGAAGTTGTAATCTCTGTTTGTATGTCCGATTAAAACTTATGAACCTCTCGACCGATTTGCTTCAAATTTTGTTTGAGGAACTCGGGAGAACTACGGGAATGTTCTTAGTTTGGTTTTGATTTATGTGGGTATACTTTTATAGGGAAAAATAGCTGAACTCGTAATTAATGACCAAGCGTGGGTAAACAGCGGGAGTAGCTTTGAGTACCCTGGGCAACACTTGGTTCTCAAGCTAGTACAGTATATTAAGTACACTGCAAAAAGAAGTGTATAAGGTTTAAAGTAAGGAGTAGTGTTTATAGTATACAGTAAGGTGTATACAGTATACAGTAAAACTGTATACAGTATGCAGTAAAACTGGTTACAGTATACAGTAAGGTATATACAGTACACAGTATACAGTACACAGTATACAGTATACAGTAAGGTATATACAGTACACAGTATACAGTACACAGTATGCAGTACACAGTATACAGTACACAGTATACAGTAAGGTATATCAGTATACAGTACACAGTAAAACTGTATACAGTGTACAGTAAGGTGTATACAGTACACAGTATACAGTAAGTTGTATACAGTATACAGTAGGGTGTACACAACAGTATATGTAAGGAGGTGTGTATATAGCTTATACAGTTAGGTGTATGCAGTATAACAAGGTGTATATAAGATGTATAAAGTATAACTGAATAAACTTGACTAAGAAGAAGAAGAATAAGAGGAAGAAACCCTGGTAACGTATCTCTAGTTTCAATATTGGTAATCCTAGACTTCTCTTCTACAGACTAAACCTAGGGATACATTCCAGACTCGGAGTTGCAGAATTATAAAATAAAACAAAGATATCGATTTTTCATCGAGAAAGTATAAATATGTTAGAAAATAAAAGAAAAACATGAATTTTTGAACTATAAGCGAGCGTAACAAGTGCGGGGTTTCGAGGTTTACACTATTTTGCATCTCCAACTTACATTATCTTTCATTGAAAAAAATTGTAGAGTAAAGCAATGGAGTTGCACTGAATCTGTTATAAAGGAAGTTGCTTTAAAATTAAATCTATAAAAATTGACAATTGACAAACAAACAATAGACACTGCAAATATATTTATCAATAGATGAAGATATTGGACTCGAGTTCTGAAAGTCTATTCTTCAAAAATCTGATTTATTTTGCAAAAAATGAACTCAATAGATTTGAAATTATATAACCGAGCTAAATTCAGTACAATGAACCTATAAAGTTTTAACTCTTGTCTCTAGTTTAAGATAGATTAACATGAAATGAACAGATTAATTGATCCGGTCTTACATCAGTTCAACAAAAGTACTCACCTCGCACCAGGAAATAAATCAGTTATGAAATACATGTTGATGTAACCATAACAGATATAGCGCAGTTATATACTTAGTTTTATCATTTTTCAGAGCAGGGCACTTAGAGCAGTGCATTTAGAGCAGGGCATTTAGATCAGGGAATTTAGAGCAGGACATTTAGAGCAGGGAATTTAGAGCAGGACATTTAGATCAGGACATTTAGAGCAGGGAATTTAGAGCAGGACATTTAGATCAGGACATTTAGATCACGGCATTTAGAGCAGGGAATTTAGAGCAGGGCATTTAGAGCAGGGCATTTAGAGCAGGGCATTTAGAGCAGGGCATTTAGAGTAGGGCACGTTCACGCAATCGCAATTTTCTTCGCGATTTTGTAACCTTTGAATTGTGTGCTGAGTTCGATATTGCCCAGGCTAGAACGAATTGCAGTTTGATATTTTAAACTGAAATATTGGTAAAAAGGTCCTTTGTTAAAAAAACTTCGATGTTTCAAGTTGAAATTGTTCTGCAGACATTAACAATTTTCAGATATTTTTTAGTTCTATAATGAATGATGTAGTTCATAAGAGATCGGGTTCTAAATCTTTTCTAAGGTTTGTTTTTATTCAAACAATAAAGTCCGCTGCTTAAATCTGCCCTGGAAATGAATGCCACCATTTTTTTCTCAAAACAATCAAAATTTTCAAATATTTTTCATTTTTAAATCGAAATTTTTGGTGGCAATTTTTTCAGGGCCGCTCTATCAGTTTAGACCTTTTGACAGTTATTTGAATATGCATTGAATTTTCCATAATTTGTCATGCCGTAAACGATCAACGTTTTTGCAAGAAAAAAGTGAAATCTAATTGGTCGTGTTTATTGAAAGAATTCTTGTTCGATACTAAATTATTAACCTTTGTGGGTAACTCTGCCAATAATAGAGTTTCTTTCTTTCAACTTCTCTTATGGAAAATTTTGTTTATTTACAGGAGATCCTTAAGCGTGAATGGAAAGTTTTCTTCGACATTGGGTGAATCCTGTAGTGAAAACAGGTTGGGTGAATCCTATGGTGCAAACAGGTCAAAAAGTATAAAACTCCGGAATTAAGAATTCCAGAATAAACGAATTGAGTCTTTTGCAACAAAATCAAATTTTTTAATTGCTACATCTTCGCAACCTGATGGTTTAGACCTTTGATATTTTAACTATGAAATCTTTAAGATCAAGTCTGGACTAAATTTAAAATATCAAAGGTTTACACAATCAGGTTGTGAATATTCAAGGATAAAAAAAATTAGATTATGTGCCATAGACTCAATTCCTTTCTCGATATGACCGTCCGGATTTTTCTCTCTAATATGAATTGAGTCTTTGTAACAAACTTTTCGACCTTATGTGGAAGACGATGCCTGGCTGCGTTAAACTAGTTCCACAAGATTCAACAGAATGAGATAGAACGGATACGGGGCATAAGTACTGATATGATCTCTACAGTCTACACGTGCGATATCGATATTGACTCTAGTTCTGAACCCTCTAGTAATAAGTTATAAGAAATATATATACTGGAAGTTATTTATGCGTTTTATTAGAGTCTGACTCACGTCCTCTATACTTAGATATTTCAAGCTATGAATTATGTTAGATTAAATTATCCAAGTTTGAAATATCAAAGGTTTACACCAACCGGTTGCAGAGATATAGGGATTTGAAAATTTGAGTTTGTGGCAAAAACTCAATTCTTTTCTCTCTAAAGGAATTGAGTTTTTGCCACAAACTCTGATTTTATAATCACTATATCTTTGGAACCAAATGTTGCAGACCTTAGATATTTCAAACTATGAATTTTGTTAGATCAAATAATCTGAGTTTGAAATATCAAAGGTTTACAACATCGGATTCTAAAGATATTGAGGTTTAAATATTTGATTTTGTTCCAAAGACTCAATTCCTTTGTCTAGAAACCATTTAAATTATGATATATATAGTATTTCGAAACAATAAATACATTAATAACATGAGATCATGTCTACAATTAACTCTGATCCTTAATTATTTAGATTAACTGTATCTGCAAGAGCACTGTATAAAAATGCTTCTCAGGTCAAATATTATTTAAAATTATCTTATTTTTGTTAAAATATATTTTGGTAATTCGTTTAATCTATTTTCTTTTAATAATAATCACTTTAATTGAACTGTAGAGATGTAATTTTAAGTGACATTTTCTATTCAAAACATGAGGTGGCCTTGAATACTCTTTATCAATTTTTTTCAACGACATATTTTTTTAACTGCTGGCCCGTCACATTTAGTTATTTCTATTAATCTTTAGATTTACTACCATATATTTATCATATACCATGTTATTGCAAAGACGCAATCTTGTAAATCTTCTCTATAAAGTGGCATAAAGTTATCCATTTTCAGGAGAGTCTCCAAGTTCTAAATGAACAAACTATTAGAATAAAAGATATTGCCAGTCATTATTTAAGGTAAAAACATTACAGTAATTTTCTACATTTATTCTACAATTTGAGTAATACATTCTTTAAGTGCCAAAGGCAATCCATTGACATGTTCACATTTTCATAAAACGCATTTTTCCCGATTCTAAACACAAAGTTGAACGATCAAATCTGCAAAGAAATATACGTCTCTTTTATGATGAGATTGAAGTGTTACACATATGAAATAGAGATGTATGCATCTTAAACTAAACTAATATCTAGGATAACTGGAACCTGGAGTAGAACTATACTAATATCTAGGATACATGGAACCTGCAGAGTTAGACTAAACTACTATCTAGAATACCAGGAACCTGGAGTAGGACTAAAATCTAAATACCAAGAATACCAGGAACCCGGAGTAGGACTAAAATCTAAATATCTAGAATACCAGGAACCTGGAGTAGAACTAAACTAATATCTAGGATACCAGGAACCTGGAGTAGAACTAAACTAATATCTAGGATACATGGAACCCGGAGTAGGACTAAAATCTAAATATCTAGGATACCAGGAACCCGGAGTAGGGCTAAAATCTAAATATCTAGGATACCAGGAACCTGGAGTAGAACTAATCTTGGATACCAGAACCCTGGAGTATGACTAAACTAATATCTAGGATACCTGAACCCTGGAGTAGAACTAAACTAATATCTAGGATACCTGAACCCTGGAGTAGAACCAAACTAATATCTAGGATACCAGGAACCTGGAGTAGGACCAAACTAATATCTAGGATACCGGGAACCTGGAGTAGGACTAAACCCTAAATATCTAGGATACCGGGAACCTGGAGTAGGACTAAGCTAATATCTAGGATATATGAAACCTAGAGTAGGACTAAACTAATATCTAGGATACCTGAAACCTGGAGTAGGAGTAAATTAATATCTAGGATACCTGAAACCTGGAGTAGGACTAATCTAATATCTAGGATACCTGAAACCTGGAGTAGTACTGATCTAATTTCTAGGATACCTGAAACCTAGAGTATGACTAAACTAATATCTTGGAAACCTAAGACCTGGAGTAGGACTAATCTAATTTCTAGGATACCTTAAACCTGAAAGTAGGACTAAACTAATATCTAGGATACTTGAAACCTGGAGTAGGACTAATCTAATCTCTAGGATACCTGAAACCTGGAGTAGGACTAAACTAATTCAGAAAATCCTTCCAACTAATTTCTCTATGAAAGTGCAGACCCGGATAGAAGATTATAACGAAGGTGAGAAGAGCTAGAAAATGATATGTAAACTTTATTTTCAAAGAAATAGTTCAATTCAATATTATTGTAATCTTTTTTTTTTGAATATTTGACCTCAAGAAAATAAATTTGATTCGTTTGGCTCTAGAAAGAGGACCATTTTCATTATTAAACCCCTAAATTGAGTAGCTACAGTAAAACATAACTAAAATCTCATATTTTTCTCTGGAATTAGCAATTTTGGGGGATTTTCATGCTTCCACGCCACAGAAAAGCTTAAGTTGCAAAGTTATCAATTTCATAATCTCTTTAAAGGAACCGTTTTATAATATCATTGGATGCAAGTTTAATCAAAGAAAAACCATGAATTTCTTCTCATATATTTTGGGGCTTGAATAAAAATGTTTAAATCTTACATTCCCATGGAAATGTTGTAGAGAGAGAACAGAAAAATAATACTAGAATAAATTTTAGTTTTTAATTATGTTTGGGTTATAAATTCACGCTCAACTTGTAATATAATTTTGCATTTGCAATACAGGGGTATACCCTTAACCATAGATTAATTAAAATAAAAGATAAGACACTAGATGTCGTCTTTTAAAGATTTAGGGGTGTTTCGTTCACAATAACCCTGGGGCAAAGGTCCAAAGAAATTACGCGCAGTCGGCGTAGAACAGGCTATCTCTCTGTCTTGTAATTTTACGCAATATGTGCGTAATTCATATGGGCGTTACGAACGAAAAACCCCTAAACCTTGAAAAGACGACGTTTGGTGTCCTATCTGTTATTTTAATATTAATATATGCCCTCAACCCTATAAAAATGGAATAAGACCTCTTTTTATATCAATTTTCAAAATCCTAGAAATATTTTTTTTTAACGTTTTTTTTTGTTTAGTTTCGGTTCCAGTCTATATACACGTGTACAGATTAAAGGATTCTGATCTTGGCTTTTATCATACAGGAAACCATTGCATAAATTATCTACAGTGAGACCCATAAACTGTAAGGCTCAAATTATGTTTCAACAGCTTAATAAACATAAAAAACATCTATTGTGCTGTGTATACACTTGTAAAACTAAATATTTGCTGTATAAATAACATCAATTGTAAGGCGATCGTTTAAATGCCGTCTTACTATTCTACAGTCGTATGGGAGCCACTGTATCATAAAAGTATCTCTTGACAAGGATTTTTTCTCAAGAAAACTTGAAAAATGGTTCCAAAATTTTGATCATCAAAAAGTAAATCTACAATATCAGTTATCAACTCTTAGAATTAACGTATCTGAAAAATCTTGTGTTGGATAGCCTAAATCTGTTTGCTTAATCTCGATATCCACTTTGAACATTTTTGATTTTCTGCTTAATTCTCTCTTTTGGATATCCTAGCTGGGTTTTGACTAATGAGAGTTCTCTCATCATTAGAGAGAAAATGTCCCGCCTTCTAATTGGCTGTTTGGTTTCTAAAAAGGTCATTTTCCTAAATATCAAATCAAGATTTAATTAATCTGCAGATTAACAAAAGAAGAGATCAAGCATTGATCTCCATATCCACAATACAGGAGGAGTTTCCCGCTCTAATAATATTAGGAAAAACAGGAAATTGAACTGATTTTAACAACGGGGTAATGTACAGGGTTACCCACAAAGAATGAGACTTCAGAGACCACTTTACGGAATTTAATACTTTCCTGCCACTGTCAAATTGTTTTTATTTTGCAAAATCATTGAATATGCGAATAAAAGACTAAATTCAAGACAAAGGTCTCATATCTTGAAAGTTTTAGTTTGTCTTTACAGTCTCATCCTTTGTGGTTAACCCTGTATAGTACGGTGAGTACGGTTTACTCAGAAAGCGGTACTGCAAACTATATAACAAAGAATAGAAGGTCAACTTCAATTTTCATTACTGTTACGAATTTGTGACCCCGTTGCTCGTCAATGTATGATTTTACGCACAAGTGTAAGAAAAGCAAATCTATTTAGTTACATCTTAAGAAATCTAAACGCCTCAATATCTCTTCAATAAAGGAGTTATGTAAAAAAGCATTTAAAATTTTAATGTTATTTGCATTTTACTTTAGTTTGACGTGGCGGGGATGCTTTTGGAGACCATTTCTGACCAAAAATTCAACCCATAAAACAAATGCTGCAACCCCTTTTTAACATTTTAACTAATGTCACTGTGGTTTTTGAATAATATCTAAAGAAAAATCTGAAATATCATAATATTTTACTATACAATTTCGGAATGATGACTTGTTAAGCTAAAATACATATAGGGAGGGGAGGGGGGTTGCAGCTGGAAAGGTATCACTATCATTGAGTAGAGTAGATTTTCATTGGAGACCTCTTGCATTTTCATTTATTGAAAACCCTTCCCCCTGGAGAGTGGAGACCCAATGGGGTTTTCCGGTGTAAAATGTCCTCAGAGATATAGACAACTCAGAAAACTTAATTTTTAGACAACCTTGACTTTAAAGTGTCGCATCGCCTAGACCTTTGATTTTACCGCCCCAACTCAGAAATACTTTCTTGAAGCCCTAGACATATGTTTTCTAAAAATACAACGTGTATGCTTAAAGTTAAAGGGAGTGTTCGCGAAAAATGTAAGGGGGTATAGGCTTAGTGCGATAAAAAAGCGCTTTTGATCGCTACTAATCTTACTTCTATCTGTTGCGTCTATAAGGAGAAAATTGTTAAAGACGTCTCATACCGAATAACTTAGCGGCCATACAAATTGAGAAAATTACAACATACGAGTTAGAACGTAAAAAAAATCAATTTAATTTCAAACAAATCATTCAGATATTACAACCTATAGTCATCGAACACTCCCTTTAAAGGAGTAATTAGCAAAATACGGCTGGATTTTGTGTAAGCACATCTTGGTTTGCAATTTGGGAAAACTTGGAAAACTTTAAATTGTTTTATTTTCATTTTTAAGTGTAAGAGAAAACTTAATAAAATGTGAATATATAAATGTATATATATATCTTCTCTTCAAATTGTTACACTCATAATTTCTCGTACAGCCGTCATTTCAATTTACATTTAACCCTTTTTTTTCAAACTTTGTCTTTAAAGATTCATTTAATGAAGGAAATAAAGTTAGAACCTGGAGAGGTTTCCAGATTTAGTGAAAATCATAAATTTCTTTATTGTATAGTTCAGTGTTCTACTCAAAATAAACTTTGAAATCAATCCAAATTTAAAGCTTATGGTATGGTTCAGGGATAGAGATATACTGCAGAGAATATACATATTGTTGTAGTTTGGGCATAGTTCAGGTAAATGTCTGTTTGTTGGTTTGTCTGCTGCTCGAAAACGCTAGAACTCGTAAGGCAACTAGAGAGTAGAGTTAAGTAAATCCTGGCTCAATTCCAATATACTCAAGAAGTTTTGATCTCACTTTGAAAATTCGATCAAAAATAGCGTAACATACACAGGGTTACCCACGATGGATTAGACTTCGGGGAATATTCAAATCTTTGTTTTCATACATTCTAAGTTTCTTGCAGCTGTAGTCTTGTACATTTACTCGTCAAAATTAGTCGGTTTCTTGCAGCTGTAGTCTTGTACATTTATTTGTAAAAATTAGTCGGTTTCTTGCAGCTGTAGTCTTGTACATTTATTTGTCAAAATTAGTCGGTTTCTTGCAGCTATAGTCTTGTACATTTAATTGTCAAAATTAGCCGGTTTCTTGCAGCTGTAGTCTTGTACATTTATTTGTCAAAATTAGTCGGTTTCTTGCAGCTATAGTCTTGTACATTTAATTGTCAAAATTAGTCGGTTTCTTGCAGCTGTAGTCTTGTTCATTTATTTGTCAAAATTAGTAAGTTTCTTGCAGCTGTAGTCTTGAACATTTATTTGTCAAAGCTAGTCGGTTTCTTGCAGCTGTAGTCTTGTACATTTATTTGTCAAAATTAGTCGGTTTATTGCAGCTGTAGTCTTGAACATTTATTTGTCAAAATTAGTCGGTTTTATGCAGCTGTAGTCTTGAACATTTATTTGTCAAAATTAGTCGATTTCTTGCAGCTGTAGTCTTGAATATTTATTTGTCAAAATTAATCGGTTTATTGCAGCTGTAGTCTTGTTCATTTATTTGTCAAAATTAGTAAGTTTCTTGCAGCTTTAGTCTTGAACATTTATTTGTCAAAGCTAGTCGGTTTCTTGCAGCTGTAGTCTTGTACATTTATTTGTCAAAATCAGTCGGTTTATTGCAGCTGTAGTCTTGAACATTTATTTGTCAAAATTAGTCGGTTTCTTGCAGCTGTAGTCTTGAACATTTATTTGTCAAAATTTGTCGGTTAAGTCATTTTTTTAGGATTACCCAATTTACCTTCGGATCGTCAGACTCAACGACTTTCAGGTCGTCATAAAAGTTTCATACATTTTGGTTAACCTTGTATGTAGAAAACAACAAGAATAAAGTTAATAATAAATACACTGCATTCCATAATGGGAATATGTATTTACTAAAAGTTTTTATATACCTAGAAATCATTTTTCCTAAAGAGATTTGAACACGGCAGTAAACTTTAAATATATGTGTTTCTTTACATTTTTGAACAAGGAAATGACTGTTATGCATGAAATTCTACCACGCACAGATGACATTAACTGATTCACAACAAAATAGTACCCTAGAAACCTTTAATTGAATAATAATGTGGAAGATATGGTCGTTTTTTCTAGGTATAACAATTCTGATAATTCTTACATGCTTTCCTGTATAAAAACAAAACAGTCTAAAGAGTTATTAACATAAACATAATTCATACTTGGTCAGACAAAATCTTTAAATTTATTGTTGTGACGCGGGCATTGCCATCTTGACATGGAGAGTTACTTACTTGCAGGTTTACATAATAAACATATTGAGATGATACATACTTTTTCATTTTAATATTTCAGCATGATCCACGTCTATGTGATTTTGGAGATTTCCTGGGAACCATTTATCTTGGAGATGTAAACCTTACTCAAATACAAGTATTGTTTTGTTTTAAAACAGATATCTTGTATAATGCTGATCTTTTATGTAGAAATGGACGCTTTGTTTTTTTTCGATTCGTTTGTTCTTCTTACGTTAAAAGACCCATCTCGTGCGTTTTTTAGTCGTTCAGTAAAAAAAATTAATGTATAGTTCGTTTACAAAATTATCGTTTATTTTCAATTTATTTCGTACTCTTAACAAAATGATTGTTCAATTAAATGTGTCGTTCAATAAAATTGTTCGTTTAGTAAAAATCGACAATTTTTCAAAGGTTCATTAGCAAAATAATTTCGTTCAGTCAATACAATGGTTTTTCAAAATTTCTTTCGAAAAAAAACCGTTTTTTACGCAAAAACGCTTGAAAAAATTGTTAGTTCAGTAAAAAATGATATTTTTAAAGTTTGTTCCAAAAAATCGTTTATTTAATAAAAAAATATATTTTATAGTTTTTTAAAATTTTTTTGTTCGTTAACAACTTAACGTAAACGATGCCTTTTATATCATTTTAGAATAGAATATATATTAGAGGGGAATTTACTAGACAAAAGTGTAAAACGGCCATTTTGTTGTACTGTTGCCATACTGCAGGTGTACTTCACAAAGTTATGCTATATAACCTTTTGGGCCCTGGAATATCATTTTATAGAAAATCTAAAATTAATATTAAAAGAAAATTATGAAATAGGCTGGTTTCATAATGGACCAATGATCATTTCACATAGACTCTATGCATTTCACTTTACAAACGATGATTTTCCGTTATAACTATCATTCAAATGATGTTTTTTATTCACCTAATTCATTAAAAAGTTTATTTAACTGCTTTAAAAAATTCGAAATTGAAATGGATAGTCTAGGGAACATACTGTATTAATGTACTCTACTGCATATAATTTGTGAACATTTACATGATTTGTACACTTTGAACTCCCTTTCAGGCTGAAAGGGACTGAAAAAATTCAAACCGAGAGATTCGCTAAATTCCCCTCTAATATATATTCTATTCTCTTTGTTTTATATGCAACAAATAATATAATAATAAAGTTTTTACATTTATATCTGAGAGCACAAAGAAAGACCAATCTGTCGGAATTGCCCGGACTAGGGGTATTTTCAAGAATTATGCTTGCAAAATCATATTCACGGATTAATACCGCAATATATTTTAGAAATGCGACATCGTTATTTACGTACCTCAACCTGATTTAACAAGCTGAGACTTTTTTTACAAATGTTAACCTTTCAAACATATTCTTTTTATTTACTTTTTACGTTTTAAATAATAAATAGAACAAGACAACCCCCCCCCCCCTCCTATCATTATACATGGTACCTACGTACGACATGAAATATTTTCAACAAAAAATATTTATTTCTGGGCCGAGCGCTGCGGCTAGGACAGGCAAGGAGGCCGAGCGCCGCGGCTATAACAGGCTAGGGGGCCGGGCGCTGCGGCCACATGACCAACTTTATCCACGTGTGTCTTTTCTAAAAACTACCTAAAAACTGATAAAAAATTTGTGTACAAAATTGATAGGACGTTGATCAAGGAAATCAAGACAACTTCGTAATAATGTTGAATTTCAGACCAAGTCGCGATCAAATTCAAATTAAAGAAACCGAATGCATCTCGCATTGGTTAGTCCAGTGTGACCCTCTTTATTTGTCCATTGGTATAGGTAGAGGATATCCTGATTGAGCTGAAAAGAAACGGGTTTGATAGTTCTGATTACGATGTTATGAAGAAATCGTGTAATACATTCACCGAGGTAAGCAAATACGTCTTTAGAGTAAGACTCAAAAAACTGTGGAACAGGGTCTGGCGACACTTCGTCAATCTTATGTGTATTGTGTCTTAAATGTTGTTATAAAAAAATAGATTTACCAGTATAGCTTTAAGATCATCTGATAAATAGCCAATTTCTTAGATGTTCTACCATAGGTAGAACCATAGTCACACTATGGTTACGCTTTACCAGAGCAGTGTAGATAGATAGATACGACCTATAGTTGTACCTTTGGTAACATGAATAAGAAATTGGCCAAAAGTTGAAAAGGTCTGTCACACAACGTCAGCCAACGTGTATAGTCTTACTGTATATGGAATGCTTATCAGGGTTATCCACAAAGGATGAGACTTTTTATAACATCATGAAATTTGCTTAATCCAAGTTATACGGTTTAATTATAAATTGACAGTAATTGGAAAAAATACAGCATAATTTCCTAACATTCGTCTGTAAGTCTCATTATATTAAATAGTTTTCATAGATAACTGTTATTGTGATTTAAAATAATAATATATTGTTTCAGGTCTTTTCTGAGAGATTAGGGGTTTTGGAAAATTTTCCCTCTGGTGTACACACCCAAACAAAGGTAACACTGCCTATTTTAAGTTTGTTTAAAATAAGACGACATGTATTTTAGCTGGGTCGTCTTCTGTCTCCTGTAGTTAAAGCTTTAGATTTTGCCGTAGAGAAGTCTCTTCATCCATCAGGGTCGGTTTCTAGCCTCGAGGTAAAAATATTAACATTTTCTTTCTGTTTTTTTTAAACAGAAAAATCTACATGGTTTCCCAAAAAGGATGAGATGTTAATGACGACCTAAAACTCACAAACTGTTTCCATGTAAAAGTTTAGTTTGGTCATGATTTGAAAAAGAAAGAAACCAGAGCTGGGAACTTTTGAATGGTGCATATCGGGATTAAAGCTTGATCCACTCTTTTTCTTAATCTGGAGATTAAAAAATGCTTGTTCTCCTCTTGTTATAAATCTCCAGATAAATTAACCGATCGGGATTAAGGATATCTCATTCTAAAGTTTTCAGCTCAGGTTCAAGTTGCAGGGAATTAATAAAACTTTGTTGTAAACCTACCTCCATAAAATAAGGTTATCTATTTCCAATCATTTACAAGTATAAATGTTTTATTTTATCCCAGGGTCTGGACTCAGGAGATTTCAAATCTGGAAATTTCTCTGATAAAACCGATTTTTCCGGATCACCGGATCTCCACTGTCCCGCCAATTCTCCAATCCTCTCCAATCCAACCAAACTATTCGATTCTTCAAGTCTAACCAACTCCAACAGATTAAAATCTGCTCAAGCCCTGTCTAAATCTCTTGCTCTTTATTCCCCCTCCGTGTCCCCTAATCTTCCCTGGTCTCCAGAAATCACTATTTCTTCAGTAGAAGAGGTTCCAGAACCCTGTTTTTCTTCTGTAGAGAACGTTCCAGAACCGTTTTTCTCAAAAGTGTTCCCTGACTCCTGTTCAAGGAACAATTCTTCAACAACCGCAGAAACATTGACATACTTTAAGGTTGGCTCTTTTGTTAACACCTTAACCTTATAAAACGTTTTTTTCTCTAGATGTAATTTTAAGTGACCTCCATTTATAGAGTGACGTGACTGTCACAGCTGTACCCTTTCATCCTTAGTCTTATTAACACTAATGGAGACCTAACATATGTATATCTTGAATATCAAATTGCAAAATCTATTGACAATCTTACTATTTTCAAATAGATTATCAAGTGCTTGATAATCTATTTGAATATTTTCATTTGAGGTTTTTATTTAAATCAATTCGCGAATTTCTCCTTAATTGTTATTCAAGAAAATTGTCCGAAGTCACGACGGTTTCTTCCACATTATTGTTCAGATATTGGATTAAGCTCAACCGTCGTGAATCGGGTATGCCACTTCTCAAACGTAAGATCGTTACTTATTTTAGAGCGTTGCGGAAAAAATTATAAATAAAGAAAAGTATAGAAGTTCAAGATGTAAACATTTAAAATTAAAATGCACTAGTTTTGTCTACATTCCCCCCCCCCCCTGTTTTTGGCATGAATTGAAAATTTTAGGATAAATTGAAATGCTGCAAAGATAGTATAATTTTAAAATCTGATTAACATTTGAAAGTTAAGTCAAAACTGTAAAACAACTTGAGGCTGGATTTAAAGAATTTAAACCGCGTCGTTGATCTACCAAAAACCGGGTTCCAATTGAGTTCCAATATTGTCTCATATTTGAGCCGCAGCCAAAATTCCTTAAATTCGGCCTCTGGATTCAGAACTTATTTCATTAGAATCTTATCATTCATTATTGATAAAAAAAATATTTATTATATTTGTTTTGGCAGGATGAAACCGAAAGTAAACCCGGTTTTGCCAAGTTCCCAGATTCAAGGTAAGATTTTGAGAACCATTTTGGGGAATTTTCTGAACTGAGATAATCATTCTATTTTATATTGGTAACCCCTCTTTTTTCTGTATATTTCCTCTTCTATTTTTAGTTATATGCTAGTGTGTGAGCTAGAAAACTGTGGAATAGGAAAACAAAGCAATAATTAAGTGTAGTTGATGTTGTTACAGATGGGATGCCAGATTCGTTTTACAGAAACTTTTAATGTTTTTAGACTTTTAAAAGGTTTTACTTTACGACAATTTGAGAAGGTTCCAGCCATTTAAAACTTCATTCTGTAGAAGTTTGCTTTTAAAAAACATGCAAATATGTGTTACCCTAGAAGAATATACAAGGCATGTTTGATAAAGCAAACTTCTACAAAATCCAATTTTAAATCGTTGGACCCTTCTCAGACTGTCGTAAAACCTTTTAAAAGTCTAAAAATATTAAAAGTTTCTGTAAAACGAATTATGGATATTTCCCATTGCAACGCCAAAGTTTTACTAGTTCTTATTATTAAATCACTCATTCAGAAAAATGAGTCTGTTAACACTGAACAATTGCTGAGTCTCACGTTCACATTGGACTATTCAAAGTCATAACTTGAGTGTAAATGTCGTCTTCCTATTCCAGAGATTTCTGGTTCTCACTGCAGTTCTATTTTAGATCCAGTTTCTCTGAGTTGCTCCCCAGATCTCATTCAATCTCTCCTCTGGTTTCAGCTCTAACTCTTCATCAACATAGATATTCACAATAAGCATCTGATCTGATATTTGTGTTTAAACAAAGAATACTTTCCATTAAATTTCAACTTTAGCATTGTGCAATGTTATAATTCTTTTTGTTTATCTTCTGATTTTTTTACTGCTTTTTCTTCTATAAAATAGTGATTTAAAACATTTTTAAATAAAGAACAGAAAATGTTTTTTAACAAATAGTAATCCTGTAATTGAAATAGTTTATTTTCTCCTTTATAATTTTAGTGTGTCTTTTTTATTCTGAAGTGTTGTTATTTATTAGAAATTACACAACACGTCAAAAAACTTCAATTAATTTGTTAGAAGTTTTTATATGCCTCACTCTAAACTAAGTTTACTGTGCGTACTGTAGTTCTCTTACCGAATTAATAGTGAATTATAGCTGAAGAGCACGGGCAGCTGTAGTACATTTAAATTTCCGAGCCCGGTCAACCTTTCAGGTCACAGTTTGTACTGTACCTAGCTCTTTGGACAGGACTAGCTGGTGCAACAAGGTTGACGCGGTCAGACTTTATGCTTCATATAGGTTAAATTTACCTTTACTAAAGGAGCAGATTTGCGGGAGAGTGGCCTCTGAACACTTTACAATTATACCTTATTTGTTTAGTAGCTAAGTTGTGCATACTTTAAGATAATATATATTACTAGAAATTCAAGGCGCTTCGCACCCTACTTTCTAGGCTTTTAGGGCGCTTCGCGCCCATCTTCTATTTAAATTGTGAACACGTTCTCTCTGTTTACATTTTAAAACAAAGAAGAAAAAAATTTTGCGGATTTAAAAAAAAAAAAAATTCGCGGATTTTCAAGAATTTAAATTTGTTTACAAAATTAAAAACCTTTAAAACACATTTTTTTTAAATTTTTATCATTCATAAACCTTCCCTGGGCTCCCTAGATGTCCCACAAAAAATTGGGGCCCGATCGGTTCAGCCGTTTTGACGTTTATTGGATACAAACAAACAAACAGACAAACAAACAAACAGACAAGCCAAATTTATATATAGATTATATCATTATTGTGTACCCTTTACAAGGATACTATAATACATGTAATCTGATACACCCTGTATTCTGAATATAGTGTATACTCTGAATAATTTAGATTTCCTGGTACACCCTGTTTTCTGTATAGTGTATACTGAATACATTACATATATAATTTAGATTTCCCTGTACGTAAACCCTGTTTTCTGTATAGTGTATACTGAATACGTTACATATATAATTTAGATTTCCTGGTACACCCTGTTTTCTGTATAGTGTATACTGAATACATTACTATAATTTATATTTCCTGGTACACCCTGTATAAACTGTGAAATAGGGTGCGTCAATTTTCGAACAGTGTTTTCAATCTCGACTCTACCACATTTAAATATTCTAATTTCTTAAGGTATCCTAATCTATAAGACACATTTATATCTCTATGCAATCTGATTTTGATTCAGTTCTCAGTGCACGTTACGATTTTTGTAAAAGTGTCGAACGTCTTAAACCTTAACAGAGTAGTATGAAACTAGAAATTGGGGCACCCTACTCTATAGTATACTATAACATATCCTGGGGCTGTGGCGTAATTACAGGATAGAGAGAACTTGAGAAATGAAGCTGACTGCTTAGTAACCAATGGTACCCCACGAACCTTACACAGTGTTTATAACCATACTCCGACAACGTGATATTTGAGTGCAGTGGTGTGGAAATACACAAAACTAAGAGTTCTGCTTGGTTTTAATGATTGACATACACTATAATTGACAAAAATGGAACCATGTCAGTTATCTATACTCCGCCTGGAGTTGTCTAAACCCAAAAGATATTAGGCAAATTAAATTCCATATTATTTGACCGTTTGCCTAAAACCTTTTTAACATACCCCCAATTCGGTGTGGGATCTGACAATGGCCCTAGATTTGGTTTTATTTAAGAGAAAAACACTTCATCTCAAAACAAATCACAAAAGTTTGATATAGATTGTCATTGAGATAAGTGTAGATCTTTAGTCTTAAATTTTCAATTTTATCTTACATAAATTTACAAAATTGAATATTCAAAGTTACAAATTATTCTTTAGTTTAGAACCTTCATTGAGAATAGAAACAATGATGCTCAGATACTCTTAAAATACGGTGATCCTAAGTCTTTGGTCCTGAAAATAGTCTTTTAAGGTACTTTCTATTAATTCTAAATAACACACGTTGCCACTTTCAGGGAATTATAAAAAAAGGGAACAGATAGTAAAAATTCCGTATATTTGTCACTAAATCTCATCTGTTGTAGGTAACCCTGTAGCTTATTATAAAAAAAGGAACAGATAGTAAAAATTCCGTATATTTGTCACTAAATCTCATCTGTTGTAGGTAACCCTGTAGCTTATTATAAAAAAAGG